GGCCTCACCACCAGTATGGAGGTTTTCCGGCCGTTAACATCGTGGATTTCTCGGCCCTGGACCTTCCAAAGCCGTAAGTCGGCGAACTGTGTGACACTGTTGCTGCCCAGCCGAAGTGATCTGACTCCTCTTATAGCTCCCAGGCATGACACGAAAGGATCCAACCCAAACACTAAAGACAAGAGCAAGATCAAGGTCAACTCTGTCAACCAAAACCACAGTTGCCGCATTCCTAAACCATTGGAGGTTGGGTTTGTTGGAGAGTTGCACCTTGCCCAGGCTCCAATCCACCAAATCTGATGTTCTTCCTTTCTGGCTGGAATCTAACGTGGCCAAGCTCTCTGCTACCATTCTGGCAAGAGCATTAGCACCAAACTTGTCAACCCCAAACAAGTACGTGCACTGCTGGTCTTCTTCGAGCATCCATTGGTAGAGCTGGCTCAGCCCTTCCAGCATCATAGAATTCAAAGCCAAGCCTCCTAAAGTGTCTCGTATTACTCTGGCGTGCAGATCCCGCATCATTCCCTTTCCATGAACATCACACTGGTAGGAGGGAATGTAGGAACATTGTGGATCTGATGCAACAGCTGCTGCTCCACTGACGATAGGGGTAGGATCTCTCCCAGTGCCTTTGGAAGTAATGCTTGGAATGTGCCAACAAGTGCAGCCATCAGCTGAACTTGCTTCATACTTGCTCCAAAGCGGGACCAGAACGCAACAGCTGTCAAGAACCCAAGTGTTATGTCAATGCACAGTGTTAGGATTCTGTCCATGCACGTTTACTCCTACAATGGTGCCATTGTTGCCCGCATGGGAAATCAGATCTCCGTGATTGTTCTGAGCCCTCAACCTTGTTGTACCGAACAAATCTGCCAAGCCCATCTCTGAATCCAGCCTTCCCCTCGCCAGGCATAACGCTACACGCTACAACAGCCAAAGTGCTTAGTCCAGCCTGTGCAAAGTTGTAGCTGTTCCTGACCTCTTCAACACTTGCCATCACTATCACTTAGAGAGAGGCTAGGAAATCCACTTGTTCACCTTTGCTTGTGCGCTGTTTTAGGGTTACGGTTGGGTTTAGGAAACAGAGCCAATTCTTAAAGAAATGAGACCCACAAAAGCCCAGAATCTACTGTAACGCATCCATTGATGGAGATTCTCTCTTTTTCTGTACGAGTAGAAAACAGAGATCAGTGGAGAGAGAGACTCTTTTCAAAGACGAATCTGGGAAGAGCAAATTGAGGCTCGATCGGGTAAGCTTTGGAGGAAACTTGACTGGACGCGCGAGTCTCCTCTTTTTCTATAGCGGGGGAGGGGGGGGAATTCTTTCTCGCATGATATGAAAACTTACGTGATGGAGTTCTCCACACTACTGCTAGTAGATCGTAGTTTTTGCTAGCGATCTTAGTTTTGTAGCAGCCTCGACCGAGATACCTGTAAAGAAAAACACAGAAAAGGAAGTGGTTCCTCACACGAAGAAAAGAAAGAAATACACAAACCTGGCACTTCGCCGACCAACGTGAAGTTGAAGGGCAGCTGGGCTCCCACTTTTGTAGCAGCCTCACCTGCAAAGAAAAACACAAAAAAGGAAGTGGTTCCTCACACGAAGAAAAGAAATACACAAACCTGGCACTTCGCTGACCAACGTGAACTTGAAGGGCAGCTGGGCTCCCACTGCTCGGCTCGGATTCCAGCGGCGGCAGTGGCGACCATGTCCGGCTGGAGATACTGGAACTCAAGCTCGAGGAGAGCCAGGATCCTCGCAGGCCGACGCACTAACATCCAGCTCGATTGCAATCCTTGGAACAATCTTCCGAGGAACCAAGTGCCACAAAGGGCTGCCACAGCTGCAGCCTCTCGACCAGGAAGAGCAAAGCCGGAGTCGTCACTCCTCCATCGCCGCCGCTCGTTTGCATGCGATTCGTCCCCCACAAACAACTGCGCGTGTCGAATGGGTGGCAAGTGACCTGGGCTGACTCGGCAGCAGCCTCTAGAATCCTCACCATCGAGCACGAGCAAGGAAGTTGAGCGAGTCCTGGTGATGAAAAGGACTTGCTTCCATCGCCGGGCAACTGGCCAGCTCCAATGTCCACTTCCCGCCCGCCGCTAGCGAGGATCGTGGAGCTTCAAGTTGATAACTCCGTCAGTGGAGGCATAGACCACCCGGAGCGCGTGATCTTGTGGCCCATTAAGTCGAGTCCAGCAGCGAGTAAGGGGATTGGTGACGATCAGCTGAGCGAGCAAACCCCTCAACGGGCTCGCGATTTTGCCGCCATAGAAGGACCTGGTGTCGCAGAGGGATCAACTTTCTGATTGCGTTCTCCGCTGAGCATTTCGTCGTCAGTTTCTTCTTTTCGTTTCTCAACTATTCTAGAATAGTTGAGTAATTGAAGAATTCTACTCCAGACCTGGTCCGTTCTAGATCAACGACTCCCAGGACACACAAATTTGATACGTCTCCAAACATTCCACCACGCCGAGTAATCGATGATTCCGAGCTCTTTGTGTGGCTCAACGTCCTAAGGAAGTAGACCAGTGTCGGGAAAATGTGGCCTCTCGCAGGACGCCAAACCCGTGATGAGCTCTACAGATTTGGCACAGGTTACGGGAGCTCGCAAAAGTCGAACACCATGGGGTTTAGATCTTCTTCCATTAGTCGATTAATCCATGAATTCCGCCACTGCGACATAGCAGAGAATCTGGAGCTCCAGCGCGGGATGGACGAGTCAGCCAGTGATCCACGCGAACGAAAGGAGGAGGTGCTCAAACTCTGTGGAGACGCGAGTCCATGCCAAGAATCCTTTTCTATTCCCGTAATTCTACTCTCCTAGTTCTCTGAAGTAGCGGCTCCCGAGGAAACAGTGAACTATCGTTTAATGGCAAACATACTTCCAAGAAGAAATGGAAAGAATGGCACACAGAAACCTGGAACAACGACAACTTGAACGGTACAGTGCCGAGGGACCTCTGCTTGGAGTCCGGCAGCGGCAGTGGCGACCATGTCTGGCTCGAGATTCTGTAGACGCACTGGAAACCAACGTCGAGGAGACCGAGGACTACCTCGTCGTCCTCGCAGGCGACCGCACGAATACACTGCTCCCACGCCATCCTTACGATCTCCCGGGGAATCACATCCAGCGGCACTGCTGCAAAGGGCTGCCAGTGCTCCAGCCGCTCGTCCAGGCGCAGCAAAGCCGGGGTCAACATTCCTCCATCGCCACCACAGATGCTCTTTTGCAGGCACGGGAGGAGGATTCGTCGACCGCAGATAACCGGTAGGGGATGCATCTCGGTTGGGAAGAAGGTGGGCTTCTCACTGACAGAGAATCCCGGCGGTAGGCTCTTCCATCTCACCCTCGAGCCCCGATCAAGGAAGGTGACAGACTTGAGCGAGTAGTCCTCCTCCCCTGAACTCGTCCTGGTGATGAAAAAAACGTTGCTTTTGTCGCTGCAAAACCCGAGCTTGGGAAACGTTGCCAGCTCCTGGCCAGCTCCAATGTCCACTTCCCAGCTCTCCCAGGCCGCCGCTACCTCCGCACCACAGCGATGACCGTACGCATGGAGCTTCAAGTTGTTCAAGGCGAACGACGTACCCGAGGCATAGACCACCCGCAAGCTCGAGTCTGGGAACGCCTGGAAACTGGCGATAGAAGCGCAAGATCTATCCGCCGAGTCCAGCGGTGGCAGTCGAGCCCAGCGGCGAGTGAGGGGATTGGTGACGATGAGCTGCGCTCGCGTGGTCTCCACTAGGAGCAAGCGCCGCCGCACACACGTCCAGGAGCTCTTCCGGGAAGTTTGGAAGGTAATCCAGTCGAAGAGGGCTCCAACCCTTAATCCTGGCGCCAGGCCGTGCTCTCCCTCTGTGACACCAGGTTATCGAGAAGCTCGAGCTGGAGATGGCGCGGGAGATTCGCCCAGATGGATGCGTCCATTGGAGGAGAGCTGTGATGGAAAGAAAATCCGGGAAGAATGTGGGATCGATATCTGTGATCGCTGCCGTCGCTGCGGGGTTTATCAGGAGATCCCAGCCGTTGGATGCCAGCATATTCCACCTGTGCAAACAAATCGCTCTCTCGGTGTCGAGGTCCAGCAGTGGAGGAGCGGCGCTCAAGTGGCGCTCGACTGTGCCTTGGAGCCGCGCTATTGCTCTTGCTTAGCTGGGGAGAGCTTCGTCGCGTCAAACTCTTGGCTCTTGCTGATTCCTGACGTCCTCCGCTTGGCTTGGTCGATGCTGATTCTACTGCGTTAGTTGCTGCTGCTGCTGCTGTGGCTTTGGAAGCCTTCTCATCAGATTTCTTCGTCTGTCCGTTGATGCTGTTTCTTGCGCTAGGACGTTGAGCCACACAACGATCTCCAGGTTGTAGAACTCCGTGGTCGATTGCTCGGCGTGGAGGCGTGACCAATTCCGTGATGAGCTCTACAGAAAGAGGAGGCTGGTTGTTTCGGACAAGAACTTGATAGAAGCGAGAATCAAAACATTCTCATTTGAACCTTGAGGCTTACCAATCGCCATATCCATTGATCCTGATTTACTGCTTCTCGGCTGCCACTTACCTTCTTCACAGGATAGCTGCTGCTGGCTACAAGCACTTGTCTCCATGCTACGATGAGAGGATGTTTACAGCGACAAGGAGAGCGAGTGCAAGAAAAGGCGCAGACACAGATTGAACACAATCTTTTATTCCTTGCTCTTCGTGCATATATGACTGCTCATCTGCTTTTCATGAACCGGACTCTGTTACAAATGCTGTGTGACGATAATTGCAAGCCAGGCAGTCTGTACAGCCTTTTTCACTTATATAAGTGGGATGGAACCAGGCGAAGCTAGAGATCCTGTGGAGCTCATCGCTTGGAGCTCCAGCAGCCATAGCCACGGAAAGTAACCCCCTGGGTGGTGGACCAAGCTGAGATCTGGCACCTCGATGGCTGTCACCTGGTGAGATCCATCCATTCCCTTGATAGAGACAATAAACCATGTGGAGGGTGGAAAAGATAAAGCTTTGGAAACCGTGTATCATCCATCTATCGACCAAAAGAGTCTCACTGTTTCCGTTTCAGGAAATGAAACTTACGTGAAGGAGCTGAACGTCTCTACAATGCTAGTCTATCGTAGTTTGCTAGTGAACAGCAAATCTTAGCCTCAGCGAGACACCTGCAAAGAGAAACAAAATGGTTCCTGACGAGAAGAAATGGAACAGAGCGCACAAAACCTGGCACTGTGCCAAGCAACGAGAACTTGAAGGGTATAGTGCCAATGCAGATGCTCCCCCCCTCCAGCGGCAGTGGCGACCATGTCCGGCTCGAGATCCTGTAGACGCACTGGAATTCAAGCCCGAGAAGACTGAGGACCACCTCCTCCTCGCAGGCCCGCGCGCGAATACACCACTCCGACGCCATTCTTGGAACGAGCTCCCGAGGAACCAGCCCCAGATCATCCAGCGGCATTGCCACAAAGGGCTGCCACTGCTCCAGTCTCTCGTCCAGAAGCAGCAAAGCCGGGGTTACCATCACTCTATCGCCACCGCTGCTCGTTTGCATGCACGGGAGGAGGATTCGTCCACCACAGACAACTGGGAGGTAGACGAACTTGTCAAGGACCATGAATCCCGGGGGCAGGCTCTTCCATCTCGCCACAGTCCTCGCCACTGAGCCACGACCGACGAAGTTGATAGACTTGAGCGAGAACTCCTCCGTGGCGGATGCCAACCTCGTCCAGGTGACGAAGAAAACGTTGCTTCCATCGCTGCATAGCCCAAGCTCCGGATTGGATGCGAGCACCTGGCCATCTCCAATGTCCACTTCCCGCCCCTCCCAGGGCGCTGCTACCGCCGCACCACAGCGATGATGGTACACGAGGAGCTGCAAGGTGGTGTAGACGTGAAGGCACTCGGACGAGGCACAGACCACCCGGAAGCTCGAGTCTGGGAACGCCTGAAAGCTGATGATACAAGTGTACGAGCCCGGGTCACAGAGCAGGCGTGGAAGTCGAGTCCAGCGGCGAGTGAGGGGATTGGTGACGATCAGCGCTTGCCTGGTTTCCACCAGGAGCAAGCCCATCGATGCTGCCGGCCACACATCGGCCCGGGGGAGCTCTTCCGGGTAGTTTGGAAGGTAATCCAGCGGAAGAGGACTCCAGCAATTCTCCCCGGGGCTGGCGATCTTGTTGCCGTGGACGTAGTAAAACTTTGTCTCCCAGAGTGAGAGCACGGCCTGGCGCCACATCTTGGCGCGAAAGAGAGCCCGGAGAGGCAAGTGATCGAGAAGCTTGAGCTGGAAATCGAGCGAGAGATTCGCCCAGATGGATGCGTCCATTGGAGGCGAGCTGCCATGGAAAGAAAATCTGGCAAGAATGTGGAATTGATAGCGAGCAAATACCTTTGAGAATTGTCACTGGAAAACGTTGTTTGGACCTCGCGGACGCGCCACATTCTTCTCGAGAGCTAGGGTTCTTTCATTTAGTTTCTAGCAAACACATCACATATAAACCCGGTTGGAAACTTTGCTCTTGCGCCAAACTTTCCAGTAGAGCTTTGTCCAGAGTTTTTCAGCTCCCACTCCTCTTGCTGCTGCTAGTGTCGATCTCGTTGATCCGATCGATGTCGAGGTCGAGCGGCGGAGGAGCGGCGCTCTGGTGGTGGCGCTTGGCGTGCCTGGGAGAGCTCGACTGTGCCGTGGGAGCCGCGCTAGGCGAGTGGCTGTTGCTCTTGCTTAGCCGGTTGCTCAAGCTCAGCCTCTTGGAGAGCTTGGGCTTGCTGCTCGTCGCGTCGAACTCTTGGCTCTTGCTGATTCCTGGCATTCGCCGCTTGGCTTGGACAACGTCCTTGAGCATCTCCTGGTCTTCCTGCGAGAGGCCACACTTTCTCGATGCTGATTCTACCGCGTTAGCTTCTTCTGCTGCTTTGGAAGCCTCCTCGTCAGATTTCTTCGTCGCCGGGGACCTGTTTGGCGACTTGAAAGGCGACCTGTGTCCGTTGATGCTGTTCCTTGCGCAGCTCACCAGGACGTTGAGCCACACAATGAGCTCCAGGATGTAGAACTCCGCCGTCGATTGCTCGGCGTGGTGGAGTGTTTGGAGGCGTATCAGTTCTGTGTGTCCTGGGAGTCTTCGATCTAGAACGGACCTGAAGATGAAGAACAGTTGAGAAACGAAGAAGAAACTAACAACGAAATACTCACCCAGAATTTGCCCATTCGCCAACCCATCCAAATCCGTGATGAGCTCTAGAGATTGATAAAAAAGAGGAGGCTGGTTAGCGTTCACACGAGCTTGACCATATGAATTAACCTTGTGGTGTTCAGAGCCACAGGTGCCAGCCAGTCCAAAATCTTTTCCATCTCAGCTTTTATTTGCGGAATAGTCATCTGTAAATCACAGCAAAGATGAGGAGCATGAGTGAAGAAAACGTACGAGAAAAAGAAAAGGCACCTCTTCGTTTTTCCGAGGCATTTGGAGTCTACTCCTTAATGCTGCCTTAATGCTCGGTGGCAATCCCTGGTACAATGTGTCCCTTGTGTTGGGAGGAACAGAATTCGGACGAGACACCTACACAATAATAAAAAAGGCTAAGAATAAAAATTCTTGGATCTGCTCGTACCAGATTGTCAATCTGATTGATGATGTTGGCATAGTGTAGTGCCAAGCCCGAAGGACCAAGCCTACATATTCCTTCCTTGACGTAAACCTTTGCATCTTCGTCTGTCAAATAAAAAAAAGGGCAACAAAGTCGTGTTTCTTCGAAAGAAAGTGCGAAAAACTAACCAGCCGGTCCAAACACGTCATGAATCCGTTGGTGTAGAAAATAAACAACGTCCACGAGCTTCTCCATTACCTGGACGATTTTGTAAGCACTTTAGACTTGACACAAGAGCTTACGTACCTCCTCGAGAATCTTTGACCACAAAGATCTCTTCTTTAGACTTTTTACGTGTTTCTGCTGGGCTTTTAAATCGCCTTTGAGCATGGCAATGCTCTCTCCTGATAAGAAACACACGGGCTTGAATGGAGCTTCTTTTTAACACAAAAGAATGGCGTGGTACCTCTTTGAGAATTGCTGTACATCTCTTCCTCTTGCTGCAGTTTGCGCTTGAGATCATTATGAAACCTGTCTAGAGCATGCAACTCGTGATAAAGTTCCTGAGAGAAGCTTTCGTGTAAGGAACTGAAAACAAAGGAAAAGGCGGAGACCACTCACGGCTGTTTGTTGTGCCATAATCATGAGATGTTCCATCTCAGCTTCTGCAATCTCTTTCGATTGGCGGGGTATAGTTACTTCTGATCCCAGCCTTAAGAAAGAGGAGAAAAAAAAAAGTAAACTTGGAACGTTCTGTGCACTCACATACATACTTGTCAAAAATTCGGCAAAGCTGATGCCATCTAGGATCACGGCAGTGGTTACCGAAACGTACCACCTCTCTCGTAAACACCTTCAAATCGTTCCTGCAAACAACGAAAGCTTCTCAAAACTTTAGCAAAACAAGAGACTATAGAGGTTCTTTTGTACCTTTTATCCGCTGCCGCAATCCTCCACAACTCGTCCATGTCCCTGGAGATCAGCCTTTGCACGCCTTCCGAAGGCAGTATCTCTTCCTTGAGGACTTTCACGTCTTCGTCGGACAAAGAGTGCATCAAGCTGAAGCCTCGAACGATGGTGTTGGCAACTTCAAACGCTAGAATTCCAATCTTGCTGCCCTTTGGAGCAACACCACCTCCAAAACCACTGCCTATCGTCGTTAGGCTACTCCCTACAGTGTCAAGCGCCTCCACGGCTTTTCCCAGGCTTGCAGTTCCAGCTCTTCCCAAAAGCAGTCCCACTTCAGACACCTGGATTTATGTTCTCTTAGAGAAGCAACAATTCGAGACAAAACGTACCTTTGCAGCTCCCTTCTTGGCCACCGTCGTCGTCTTCGTTCGGGCAGACTTCGCTTTGCTGGACAGCACTCTCGACAGCTTCATCCTCTCGAAAGAATTCGTGCTCTCCAGCGTCCGTTCCTGCGCCAACTTATAACCCAGCTTCATCTTCTCCAAGGAATCGGCCTCTTCCAGGTCGCTGCTCTCCATCCGGAGCTCCCCGGAGTCGGCAACGTAAGAAACCACCTGTTCTCGCGAGCGCTGGCGGGCATTGAGATCCCTGGCCAGCGACGAGGAGCGCCGCCTCGATGATATTCCTATCCCCTTCGAGCAAAGAGCTCCCATGCTTATTAGCAGAATCGCATAGTAGTAGCAGCGCCTCCAAGAGTTTACAATCTCCTGCCAATGCCAAAGAAGCTGGTAGCAGTCGATCCACACGGCCGGCCTTCTAGATCGAAGCAACATGTTGAGAGGATGCCCAAGAACCACCACTATGTAGCATCTTCGAGAAGGGAGGAGGAAAAGAAAGGAAGAGGAAGAGTGATCACGAATAACCCGGAGTTCTAACCCTGTTCTACATCGTCACGCCCGATTGCTTGCCGCGGGCAGCGCTGCGATCGAAGCCCAATGCCGGCGGACCCAAGCGGGATCTGGAGCAAGGAATTCCGCCCTGGAATGTGGATGGATGGCGCGAAGACGACGGGCGCGGCCCCCGGGGCACTAGATCCATGGAAATGCTTACTCGTTCCTCGTGGCGCCGCTAGCAGCCAGCCATAGCCCCGCCGCTTCCTTGCCCCTGCTGCCTCGCGCGCGCTCTCCTTGCTCGCGCAAGCACTCGCTATCGCGCCTTGACCTAGCCTCTCGTCCCTCGCTCTCTTCTCTTCCTCGTTCACTACAATGAAGAGCGCTGTAAAATTTCCCTTTACTTAATTTTTATTCTCCTTTGGGAGCTTTACTGGGAAATTTACCCCCACGTAGTTTTCTCACCAGCATTCTGGTCCGGAATTCTTACGGCCCCCTTCCCGGCCGGGAATGGCCGGCAGGGAGACCATGATTCATTGGTGGTCTCTTTAAATTATTCGCTTTTTCACTATAGCTTGTGAGTGGGAAGGTTGCATAGAAGCACTTGCTTATAAACTTTGGGGGAGAGCATCCACAATAATCTTAGGATCCATGCTTTGGATCCAAATTGCTGTAAAAGCAATGACAAGGATTATGACTAATCTCCAGGGAATCCTCCCAGAATGATGGAGGCCACTGGCACTGTGCGTTTTAGTGTGGTTTCGCAGATTCTTCTCTTCCACGGTCAACTTTTAAGTAGTCGAAGAGACGAGCGAGAAGTGTGTGTGTTGCTCTTAGGATCTTTCTAGTGGATCACCACTCCAAAATCACAATCAATCAAATCGCCCCATTCCGCAAGGCAAGACTTTGCTCACGCAAGCCTCCAAAGAAAAAAGCTAAACGCGTTGACAACATTGTTCTTTCCAGAAAGAAAAAAGTAAAGCGAGAGAGAGAGATATATATAATTCGATTGATGCTTATCTGAAGGTCATGAATCTCTCTCGTGTGTCTCCTCCGACGGTCTCACGCGATACTATCCGTCAAACACTATCGAACAAGAAACAAAACAAAGTCAATGAGCCGCTGGATTCTGGACATCTGGGCCGTCCATCTGGTGGGCACTTCCATGGAATCCGCCACGAAGAACAAAAAGAAAAGCAAGTAGAAATCACTGATTTTGAGAGAGGGATGGATCAAATTGAGGAAAGAGACCGCGCGAAGGGATGGAGGAAAGAGATGTGTGTTTAATGGCCGAACTCCCACTCCCTATTCTTTGAAGTCGCCTCTTCTGGGGTTGGTTTTCTTGTTTTCATTCAAGCGAGGAAGCCAAGCCAAGCACACCAAAGCGCAGATGATGAGAAGACAGTCTTAAATGCCGTTCCAGGGCGGTCACAGCTGGTCTTGTGTGGACAAATGCAAAGCCCCTGCAAATCTTGCCAGGATTTTTAGGGTTTGAAAGTATGCTCGAACTGCCCTAAATCCAACGGCATTTGCGGAAAACTTTTAGGGCTGGACAAAGTAAGTGGTTTAAACTAAAATTATAAACATGTTTAAGTGAAAAGTAAGCAAATGTGAATATCCTAGCATATACTATGATCCATGTTTGACCAACCAGGACTGGAAAATGGGAGAAAAGGGGTATTAAAGTGGCTCTTCCGGAATGGAATATCCAGATGGGGCATGGCGAGGCGCCCCATGCGTGTGGAGAGATGTAAACTTAGGGTTTACGAGCGCAAGGGGGAAGCATGAGCGTAGGCGAGAGCGGCGGGGCGTCTGATGGATCCGATGATTACGAGGAGGAGGAGGAGGAGCTGGTCGATCAGCACCCCAGGCGTGGCGCCGCCGTTGCCGCGGCCGCCGCAGCTTACGAATCCGCCGCCACCGGTAGCAGCAATCACCGGCGCATGCCCCAGCTCCAGGCAAGGTTAGCCGCCATTAGCTCGCAGAAAATGGAGAGATCGAAAGAAATATCGGGCACGCCGGGGGCGGCTGCCGCTGCCAGTGCCAATTCTTTCCTCTTTTTGAATTCTTTCTCTCACGGTAGCGCTAGTGTTAGCCAGTCCACGCCGGCCGCCAATGCGGCTGGGATCAGCAACAATGGTGCCTCCACCAAAGATGGAGGTGACGCTCTAAACAATTACTACACGTCGCTGCTCACCGGTGGGAGCTGCATTCGAGGACACCACCAGAACGAGATCCTGCAAACCGCCGAGCAATCGCTCAAGCAAATACTTTCGGATCCATTCTCGTAAGTTTTATGGTGTTTGATTTTTCTTTCTTGGTGTCTTACCTTCTAGTGATCCTCCAGGGGCGAGCTAATGGACGATGCCGTTATATTTCCCTGCGGTCACACGTTTGGATCCGGGGGTATTCAAAAGATACAAGAAACTGTGAGTAAGCTTATCTATTTTCAGGCTTGAGTCAGTTCTTTTCCTCCGCAGAGCTTGTGCCAGATTTGCCAAGTGCCTACTCGTATTGCAGATGGATCCATAAACTTGGGTATAAGATGCAAAACAACTCTCTCGTGATTTTCTTTCAAGGTATTTTTGTGTGCAGCATTGCGAGCGGCTGTGCTGGCTTTCAGGCATGACAGAGGTTTTCCGAAGTCTGGGGTCGTGCCCAAAGGAACAGCAGCGAAGCGGAGAAGAGATCCGGTAAAGATCCTGTAAGGCTTTTTTATGGAGTTTGTAGCTGGCATTTGACGCTTCTTCTACAGGATGGCGATCAATCCGTGGATGCCGGACGTCCGAAGGGCGTCCAGTTTCCTTATGTTGTTAGTGACAAAGTCTTGATCAAGGTTTGGTACTTGTTTTGTTTTCCGTAGTATATTACTCCGTGTTTTTCAGGGAAATAAGAGAACCCCAGAGAGGTTTGTTGGCAAGCAAGCGATTATTACGACACAGTGCTTAAATGGATGGTTAGTGTCTCTTTTGCTTAGGCATCTGAATAGAGGTGTCTGTGCCTTGCAGGTATCTGGTGAAAACTCTCGATAACAATGAAAGCGTACGACTTCAGTATCGGTCTCTACAGAAGATTGAAGGTGACACTTCAATTTGCGACCAGTTTTAAACGGTTTTGTTTTTTTAAACAGATGACACAAACAACTGGCACCAAGACCCAGTGGCAGGGGACTTCCACTCCGTTGAGATTAGTGCACAAACTCTTGAAATAAGTTGATCTGTGAACTGTCAAATTCCCTTTAAGGAATGGAAGTATGCTTGGCATATGAAACTTAGAGTTCGCACAAAAATCAAAATGAGTTCCATGACGATCAAGGGAATGAGTTCTATGAGTTCTATGATCTTTGTCTTTGGCTTTTACTCAAGACAAAGATACATGCGAATAACTCTTAAGAAAAGTAACTAGGTTTGATAATCTAATCTAGCTGTTTGCCCCATGTTTCAAAGATGGAGTAGCATTCTTATGGCAACTTGAAAGGAGCATTGTTAAAGAGTAAGCAACACAGAATCAACAATAAGATTTTTAATTAGACTATGTTTGTTCTAAAGAGTTTTCTTCATTCTGGGCAGCTTGTTTCAATAAGGTTTGGGTAAAAAGGATGACTGTGATTATCATGGGATTAATAATTGGGAATTTAAGTTTGATTTAAGGAAGTGAGGATTCTTGGGGAGTGAGCAAGCTCATAACTATGGAAATTTATTTGCAAGTGATACTTGCAACTTGAATTTTAAATCCATTTTAGTTGGTATATTCTCTTTTTTTTTCAATGTCCAAGGTTTCAATTTTTAATGGTTGTGATTTATTTTACTAACCTGTATAAATAAAACTTGATTTTTGAGATTGTTAAGAGCAATAGCCAACTGAATGCCATAAGATTTTAAGTAAAATACTGTGGTAAAAGGTTTTCCTCGTTATTTTTAGTGTGTATCATAGAGTTTGGTGTTATAAAGGTGTCAAAACTTCATCCAGGCTCATAAGTAGACTCACCAAACTAAAATTTAATTATCATGGTATTGTTCTTGCTCAATGGCTCATTATGTTAATGACACTAGAATGAATAACTAGTAAGTTGGGTGTGAAAGTGGATTGTTCAGAGTACAAATTACAAATTACTTGATAAGACTCTTAATAACCTTTTTAGCCATTATGCAAATGTCATGGTGCTCAAGCTATAAATTTGAAGGGTGTATCAAATTCTAGCTTTCTCTTTCAACTAGAAAAAATAGAGATTTTTTGTTATTAAAAAGAGCAAACTAGAAAAAATATTAAAAAAATTAAAAAGAAAAAGCCTAATTTTTTTGACAATTCTCTTCTTCTTGAGCATAAAAAATTGTGCCTTTTGCTAGGTAGTTGAGATGGTTCTTATTAAAGTGGTTCCAAAATTTCTAGACTATTTCAAATAGGTATTAATTTTTCCTCTTATGTTATCATCTCAAATAAAACCCCACATCTTTTAATTATATATTGTATCAAATATTATTAGATATTAATTTTTTTTGTATATATTATGAAAAATTTCATTTGCTAAAATTACTCTCTCTCTTTTGACTTATGGTAAAAATGAAATTGTTGAATATATCATTGTTTCATTTGTATTAAATGCTAAATTACCAAGTAAAGCAATAACTAAAATTATTTGTCTATGTTTATCAGTATTTTTCTTATAAAATCATTTTAAAGTTTCTATAATTAATTTAAAAGAGAAGCTTTTATCTTATTCTAAACATCCTGTTGAAAATATAACTTTTATCATTCTTTATTTTTTATTTAGTTTTCTTAATATTGAAAAATATTCAATGTTATCCTTAAAAGTTTCATCCTTTACTACAATTATTTGTCACAGATGTGTTTGTGGGTATCAAAAGTTAATTATCAATAAATTCTTTTAAATAGTCAAAGATAAAAAGTAGCGGCCACTAGGGCTTGAGTTTGGGGATCTATGGTTTACTCTTTCGTGTGCAGATGTGGCACTATCTGAAGAGGTATTAGGCATTAAACGACTATTGAAACACACAAAGTAAAAGATTCTTTTTGTTCTATGACAGTTGCAAGAATACTCACCCTTTTGCTCCTTTTGTAATAAATCGATATTGCTAGTTCCCTTTATTAATTTGTTTTATTCATGTTTAGCATTTAGATGAACATAAATTTTTTTTCTTAAATGTCTATTTAGTTAAATATATTTAGTGTTTGTTAGTTCTCTTTTGCTATGTTTTGCATAAGCTTAATAAAAACCCTTGTATATTAGACACTTATTGCTATATGATAGTGTACTATATCTGCTAAAACCTTTGCTATCATGCCTTGTATGTTAATTGCATTTCACTCTTATTAGCTATTTATGAAAAGTGTCTAGATTTGTTATTTATGAAATGTAAGTGTTGAACACAATCTTGAAACAAAATTCACAATATAGCACCATTTTATATTTTGCTTAACTCTTGGGATTAGGGTAAAGCCAAAACTAAGGGTTTATTTTGGGCTTTAAATGTATGATAGGTAAATTGGGTATAGTGACTAACTTGGAGACATTGTTCATCTTGTTTTATTCTACATTTATACCATACTAACTAGTGGAACAATCCAATTCACCATATGGTATAGGGTAAAATCAATACATGATATATTTTTATGGTTTTGCATGCATATGGGTTTTGGCATATACTATATTGTATAAGCTTTTGCTTGGCTCATGAAATGAAAATATATTATTTGCATATGCTTATATTTGGGCTTGTGAATAAAGTTACATTTTGAGTTGGCAGAATTGATATTACTTTATTAATTGTTACCATGCTGCTAGATAAAAGTAAACCTCTATGGGAATTATTACTATGTTCTCTTATAAACTTTTCTCATTGAGGTTTAGTCAAGTTAAATATGAAACTAAAGTCATTAGAGACAAAGGTTGAAACACATAAAATCACCTTTTCTTCAATAGATGATTTGTAGTAATATATAATCTCATTCACATAATCTAATTTAGAGTTTTTTTTCCTGCAAGTTCATATTCTATTAATGACCATATCAACACAAGCACTAGAATGGATTGTTGCCCGGAGATCAGCCCCAACTCCCACAGCATTTAGTCACAGCACCAGCAGGATTTGCAATCTGGCAAGACACAAGGTAGGCCCAGGAGGAACCATTTGGGCCAGCTGCAGCCCCTCATTCATATCCCATACGCCCTCCTGTAGGACTGCAACAGATACCATCTTACCCCACCTCACGAGATGTGGACCTTTTGCTAACGAACAGGCTCTCGACCGAGGAACAGTCTATTCAGCTCCACTCTCTGAGCCGCTTACACACCACTTGAACTACTCTCCAACTACATGGAGGTATCGCACCCCTTTTCGTTCTCCCCCACGACAACATGAAGAATGGGCACAAGACCCGCCACCCATCTCCAAGAGATGGCAAATGGACAGGGGATCCTCTCCTCCCTGATGGAGAAAAGACGGTGCCAGCAGTTTCCGAGGCCATAGACAAGAGGCCCCTGGAAATAACCACTGCATTGCTGAGAGCTTACGTTAGCCAACGTATCATTATCCATATGGACGGACAGACCGGCTACACACTCGTTAATGTGGCAGATCCTCTCTTTGGAGGGGAAATTCACAAGGCACTTGCAATTATGGACTTCATATTTGTCGGCATCACACAGCTCTAGAAGGAGAATGCCAAGACTTCTACGCCTACATGCAATCCTGGATAAACACATGGATCTGGACAGCTATATTGATTGCTTCCCGATTTAAGTGACAGTTTGTGACACAGAACCACGGATGATGGAAGCCCTTGGAAGATCATGCAAGGATGGCTTTTTGTATATAGATGTTTTTCTTTTATCATATGGTGATTCTTAATTCTTATTTTATCTCTTTGAAGGTCGGCACGTCCCGAAGAGCTCCCAAAGAATCCTTCGTTTCAAATTTTTTTGCTCGGCCACCTCCACGCTGCAAATCAGAACGAGTTTTAACAGGAGGCACGCTCGAAGGTCGCCGACAATGAAATCTTAAAGATCTCCATAGTGGCAATTTTACCTCATATTATATTCTTATTTCTTTCAGATTACAGTGCAGGTAAACTCTTGTTTTCATTTTATGAAAGTCTTGGTACTTTTTTACCAGTTTTTTACGCCCTTCTGATGTTTAACCTCACGGCTGCGTCGATGCACCATAGAGTTCTCCGGCTCCGGCTGTATGATGTTCCTGCTACGAGAAGGCTGTTATCGGTTAGAAGGTGTGGCAGCAACACAAAGGTTAGTCTGGATGAGAAGGATCTTCCAGCAAAATGGTACAACATTACCGCAGATTTGCCGCAGCCGCCGCCGCCTCCTCTGGATCCTAGAAGCTTGGAGCCGTTGAAAGCAGAGGGCATGGGGGCTTTATTTCCCCAAGAACTTATTCGCCAGGAGATGTCCAGCGATCGCTACATTGGCATTCCAGACGAGGTCCTCGCGGTGTACAAGCTGTGGAGGCCAACGCCTCTCTTCAGGTTTGAGTTTTTTTGAAGCCTTTTCTTCATCGCTTAGTTGTACTGTTATGCATGCCAGGGCCAAGCGACTAGAACGGTTGCTAGAAACTCCTGCAAGGATATACTACAAGTACGAGGGTGTGAGTCCAGCGGGATCACACAAGCCGAACACGGCCGTCCCACAGGCGTTTTACAATGCCAAGGAAGGAATCAAGCGTCTCACCACTGAAACTGGTGCTGGACAGTGGGGAAGCGCTCTGGCTTTTGCTTGCTCAATCTTCAATCTCGACTGCGAGGTATAACCACTTGAAGTTCGTAGTGAGAAAGAAGCTATATAGTTTTGTTGCAGGTATGGCAGGTTCGTGCATCTTACGACCAGAAGCCACACAGGAAGACGATGATGGAGACGTGGGGAGCGAAAGTTTACCCCTCCCCCTCGGCTATTACAGCCACGGGCCGCAAAATGCTAGCCGAGGATCCGAACTGTCCGGGAAGCCTGGGCCTTGCCATCTCTGAAGCCGTGGAAGTTGCTGTCCAAGACTCGAACACGCACTACGCACTGGGGAGCGTCCTCAATCACGTCCTTCTCCACCAGACGGTGATCGGCGAGGAATGCTTGCTTCAGCTGGCCAAAGCCGGAGAGACCGACGTGGACATACTCATCGGTTGCACCGGCGGCGGATCGAACTTTGGAGGCTTGGCTTTCCCGTTTCTGCGGGAGAAGTTCGCAGGGAAGATGAATCCGGTGATCCGAGCAGTCGAGCCGGCGGCTTGTCCATCACTCACAAGAGGAGTGTACGCTTACGACTATGGTGACACTGCCGGGTTTACGCCCCTGATGAAGATGCATACGCTCGGGCACGACTTTATTCCAGATCCCATCCATGCTGGTAAGTTTCGCGTTTACCAACTTTTGTAACTTTCTAGTTTCTCAGGAGGATTGAGGTACCATGGAATGGCACCGCTGATATCACACCTCTACAATCTTAAGCTCATGGAGGCCATAGCTATACCGCAGAAAGAATGCTTCCAAGGTAGAAAAATCGCTCTTTTACTGGTATTCCCGGCTAAAGACTGGTATGTCCAGGAGCTCTACAATTTGCTCGAAGCGAAGGAATAATTCCAGCACCTGAGCCAACTCACGCGATCGCTGCTACGATCCGTGAAGCGGAGCGATGCCGAGAGAGTGGCGAGGCCAAAGTGATTGTCTTGGCACTGTGCGGCCACGGCCACTTTGATCTCGCCTCGTACGAGAAGTTTCTGAGTGGAGAGATCGAAGATCTCGACTATTCCGACGAGAAAGCCGCGGCAGCGATGGCCTCCATTCCCGTTGTCAAGCAGTAAAGGAGAAGCTTGGCAATGGATCGGTTAATCGCTCCTGGCGGCGTTGGAGAAGAGGACGAGCGGCGCCGCCGTGTCCCAGTGGTTGGTGTGGCACTCGCGCAGGATCCCAGACGCGTGGCGGACGTTATGTTGGATCCGGCAAGCGCTGAGCACCGCCTTGTAACTCGAATCGTTGGGCACGAAGGGCATGGTGGAGAGGAGCTCTCGCGCCTGGCGGAGGTAGCCCAGCCTCGCGAGCACATCCACAATGCACGAGTAGTGCTCCAGCTCAGGCGCTTGACCGTGGTCGAATTCCATCGACACAAAGTAGCCCCGAGCGCGCTCCAGCGCGCCCATTTGCGCGCACGACGCAAGAACGCTGACGAACGCGAGCTCCTCGCGGTTATAGCCCTCCACGGCCATGCGGTGGAAGAGATCCAGCGATGCGGTAGCATGCCCGCTCCGGGCATTTGCAGCTACCATAGCATTCCAAGCGATCGTGTCCCGCAAGAACATCGTGTCAAAGATCTTCTTTGCCAGGCGCAAGTGTCCCTTCTCTGCAAAGAGACCCATTATCGCGGTCCGTGCCACTAGCGTTTGATCGGGCATGGAATCGAAGAGTTGCTTCGCCTGCTGGAGATCCCCTGTCTGGGCATACGCCTCGAGCATCACTGCCCACGAGATTTCGTTTCGATCGACCATGGAATCAAACATTCCCTTGCATTCCTCGAGAAATCCCAGGGAAACTAGCGCCTGGAGCATCGCATTGCACGAGGCGGTGTCGTGCTCCGGCATTGAATCGAACAGCGCTTTCGCCGACGCCAAATCCCCGCCCTGGACGAATGCGCACACCATCGCCGTCCACGCCACAAGATTCCTCTCGCCCATCCTCTCAAAGATCGCCACTGCTCGCCGCAATTCCCCGCTTTGCGCGCACGCCTGGATCATCGCCGTGGCCATCACTACATTCAACTCGGGCACCTGTGCAAAGATCTTCCTCGCCCGCCGCAAATTTCCCCTCTGGGCATGGAGTGCGAGGAGCTCCGTCCACGAAACCATGCTGATCTCCGGCATTCGATCAAAGATCGCGGCAGCGTCCTCGATCCGGCCCTCTAGGGCATAGCCATGCATCATCGTGTTCGCGGAGACGATGCTCACGGCGGGCATAATCCGGTATATTTCCACCGCCTGGTCAAAATGCCGGTTCTCGGTATATGCTGCCAGTAGGGCATTCCACGTCACGATGCTCCACTCCACCGACGTGTCAAACATACGCTTGGCGCGCTCCAGCTGGCCGGCTCTTCCATAGGCCGTGATCATGATGTTGTGGCACACGGCATCTCTCTCGGGCATGGCTTCGAATGTTCGCTTGGCATCTTCCAGATGCCCCTTTAAGGCATATGCCTGGAGGAGGAGCTTCCAGGTGAGGAAGCAATGGCGTTCCATTCCATCGAAGACGCGCTTTGATTCTCCGGCCTCGTTACATCTGCCGTAGATCTGGATGAGCGCATTCGCGAGGAAGAGGCTGTCACGGTGGCGCCGGCTCGCGAGGATCTGGGCATGGAGGAGCTGACATTGCGCGGTGTTCTTGGCGCTTCTGAGGCGATCGGCGAGCTCTCTCTCGGATGCGTCCAGGGAAAGATCCAAGACCGCCGGCATTCCACGCGCCGGATCGATCGATGAGGGGCACAGTCCGCCGCCTCAACAGGGATTCTTTGAGGTCTATCGCGAGTTTCGAAGGTGAGGAGTTTTTTCCGCCATGTCTTTGGATTCCAGGAGAGATATCTCTTCTAGCAGTAGCAGCTGCTTCGATGCCGCGGATTCGCAAGATTTTTCAATCGATCAGCAGCGGCCGCTGGCGGATCTGGTAGAGCGGATAGCGTCTGCGGCCGAGAATTCGGAGATCACGATTTGGCAGTGCAAATTCCTCGCTTGTTTCGTGGAAGGGTTCGTGGAAGAACAGAGCTATGGAGGATTCCAAACCATCGTGAAGGCAGCCGTGATCAAGTGCCTCGAGCTCGTCTCCTCCTGCGGCAGATCCAGGGCGCACTGGCTGGAGAAGGCCCTGCTCAAGGAAGAAAACCAGCAGGAATTCGAAGTCGCGGTGGAAGATCTGTGCAAATCCCTGGCGCTCGCTCGCATTCTACCCGACGAGGGGGTCCTTCTTGGTTACATGGAGGAGACTCTGGGCAGCCTGCGAGCATCATCGCTGGAGGAGCTGTCGCGGCGCGATCGGCTAGAAGTCCTCCAGAAATCCAAGGCCTTGTGCAAGACGATAGATCGAGAGAAGAACAAGCAGCTCCATCAGATGGCGCAAACGCTCATCGCTCGGCTCGATCCGCGCGAGATGGCCGGAGCATACAGGATCAATCCCGCGGAGCTCCAGCGCGGGAAAACCATCGGCCAAAGTCAGGGCATTAGGGTTTTTCAAACACGATGGCTGCGGCAGAGCTTCGCGGAGAAGGTGCTGCCGGTCGATCTGGGAAGCAATGCTGCGCCGCTCTTCCACGCAATCCATCCCAATCTGGTGCGCGTCCTGGGGATCGCGCCGCGGGGAGACCAGGGCTGCTCGCTGGTGATGGAGCTGATGAGCACAAATCTCTCGGCCGTGATCGCGGGGAAGGCGAGGGATCGAGCTCGAGGTGAGGATTCACAGCCGGGGCCCTTCTCCCTGGATCAATCGCTGGATATTATGCTCCAGATCGCCCGGGGGATGAGGTGCTTGCACGATCTCAGGATCATTCACACGAACCTCAAGACGAGGAACGCTCTCGTGAGCTTCTCTCGCGCTGGAGATTTCATCGTCAAGCTCTCGGATTTCGGGCTCGCGAAGATCCTGTCCAGGATCGCAAGAACTTCCTCAAGAACAGGCTCGGGAAAGAGGATGGTTTTCGATCAGAACGGTGGAAGTTTGTACTCCAGGGAAGCCGACATTCGCGACTTCGCGATAGTATGCTACGAGATCTTGGGTGGCGACGATGGACTAGGCGGAATTCCAGACTACATTGCTGAATTTCTCTCTAGGTGCCGCCATGAAGAGGATCGAATGCGCCCCGAGTTCTCGGAGATTTGCGACTTTCTGGGGATGATCCGGGGCCTCGAGACGCGAAGCAGGATTACCAAGAACACCAAGAACACTGGCGGATCTTTCCTTGCCGATCTCTCTGCCGACGAGCTAGAGGCGCTGGTCTACTACTTGGGAGAGAATTGGCTACTGCGCAATGCGGTTGAACAGCGCACGATTCCACTCGGAGCACTTAGGGAATGGATCCAAGACTCTAGCGCTCTTTCTGAAGCCACGAAGATCAAGATCCAGGTCGGGATGGGCGATCTCATGGCGGACTGGAGAGGAAGCGAGCACAAGTTCTTGGAAGCCCGGACGTGGTATAGGATGGCGGCGTTGTTGGGCGATCCAGAGGCGTTGTGGCGGCTAGGAATGATCTACGAGCGTGGAGGAGGAGGGATCCAAGCCAATGCCGTGCAAGCGATGTGTCTCTACCGAGAATCGGCCGCCAAGGACTACACGAACGCGATTGTGGAGCTTGGGCGATGCTATAGCTTCGGCCTCATCGATCGCAGCGAGAGTGAAGCTAGCGAGAATTTGAAGGTGGCGCTCGAGCGCCAGGACGAGGGAGGAAATCTTATCGCCGCTATCCAGGAGCTGATGGAAACTATCACCGCCGGGGCGATGGAGGACGCGGCCTGGGCGAGCAATCGTCTCGTCCAAATCTCCTGCTGCTCGAGAGGGGGGAGGATGCTAGTCGCGGGGCCTCACAGCCGGAATCTAAAGGGGGTGGTGGAGCTACTGTCGCGCGAAGATCAGGGAGAGGCTGCGCGGTACAACCTCGTGAAGTTGATCCAGAACCTGGCCGTTGAGCCAGGGCTGCTCCAGAGGATCGTCTTCGTCGACGGCGTCCGGCAGCTCACGCGGCTGCTCGCGAGGAGGAGCAGTGCGCGCGCGGGTGTGGATCGTGACGATCCGGGCGAGGATGATCTCGCAGGCGCGATCGTCGAGTGCCTGTGGGCGATGATCCAGCGCGAGAGCGGCGGCAGCAAATTTGCAGTCTACCAGGCCGTGAGATCTGGGCTCGTCGCTTGCTTGCTCTTGCCCGGGATGGCCTACGGCGGTGAGCTGCTGCTGGCGGAGTGCCTGAGAAGCGATGCCGGAGGAATGTGGCTGGAAGAGCCCGCGAATTTGGAGCTTCTTCGAGCAGCGCGAGCGAAGAACCCTAAAAAATGTTTTGAGGAGCCCTAGATTCCTTTGTTCGTTTTGCCCTTTTCAAAAGGTCTTTTTCGAGGAAGCTTCTTCCCTGAAAGACGATCGCGGATCGCCTCGGCACAGGCGAACACCTGCCGCAAAGAGGAGCACGATTCCTCCTTATCCCCGGTTTTACGATTTTAGGGCTCTGCGTTTAGGTCTTAGCGAGAGCGAGCGGAGCGAGCGAGCGATTGATCTGCGGATCTTTTCTCCCCGGGCGCGTCGCGTGAAGAAATCAATCATGGGTGAGATTTTGGCTCTGCCGCGTGCGTTTGACGAATCTGTGATTGATGCCAGCAGCAGCTGAGGTTTCGCCCTCGCGCAAGCAGCTCTTTCACAAGCGGAGCATGGATTGCGTCCTGAGCATGGACAGTGTGGCGCCGTCGCTACGCGAGCAGCTCCGCCACACCTACAGCGCCAACAACGTAATTCTCTCCCCTCCAGTTTGGTTGTTTTTCGCATTTTCTTGTGAGCTCTTTCCCTTTGGATCTCTGGCATTCCTTCTCCTTCTCAAACGATTTCTTTCCTTCGCATTTTCCCGAGCGAGCATCTAGAGTCTTGCATTGTCTTCTCTTTCTTTCAGAGTCAGGCTCGAGTTTTCTACGTGCTTTGTCTCATCGGATTCGTGCTCGTTCCTCCAGGTCCTCTCGCCGCGAAGAAAATCTGCCGACATCCGCCTCGTCGCCCGCCACGCCGACGTCTACGAGCCCTGCGACGACTCCTTCGCGCTGGTGGACGCCCTCCTCGCCGACCGCTCCCACCTTGCGGAGCTCCAGCCCAAGCTGTGCATGGAGATTGGCTGTGGCAGTGGGTACGTGATTTCCTCCCTGGCTTTGATGCTGCGCGACGAAGTTGAGTCGTCCCAATACGTTGCCACAGATATCAACCAGGCCGCCACCGAGACGACGCTCGAGACGCTCAAGGCGCACGGCGTCTCGGCGGACGTCGTGCGCACCGATCTCGTCTCGGGCCTCGAGAGGCGGCTGGCCGGCAGCGTAGACCTGCTGGTTTTCAATCCTCCATACGTCCCCACACCCGAGGACGAAGTTGGAGCTCCGGGGATCACAGGGACTTGGGCCGGGGGTGATCGAGGCAGGGTGGTGATCGACCGGCTCTTGGGCGTGGTGGACGGGATCATCTCCAGCCGGGGCTGCTTCTACCTGGTCACGCTCACCGCCAACAATCCGGGAGAGATCTGCCGGATAATGCAGAGCAAGGGATTCGCGTCCCGGATCGCGGTGCAGCGCCACACCGAGGAGGAGAGCTTGCACGTCCTCAAGTTTTGGAGGAGGAATTCACAGGGGAGTTCGTCGTCTTCGTCTTCCTCGTCCGTGGTGGCAGCGGGTTCCTCCTCCTCCTCCTCGCCCTCCATGGACTCAAGCACGAATTTCTCGTCGCCGCTGATGTGCTTGCCGCAGAAGATCTCTCGCCTCGCGTTTTGGAAATGACAAGAACAAGCCAAGGAGGAGGAAGGAGAAGAGTTGATCTCCTTCTTTTGTATGTAAATTTTGTATAGAAGCTCTCTCCTTTGTGGTGTTAAGCATAATGCGCTAATCTAAACTGATGGCTTGATTTGCTTAAGTGAGAAAAGGAAGCTAGGGAATATATATTTTGCCTTGGGAGTGAGGGCTCCTCTCGTCTTTTTCAGCTGAATGCGTGCTGCGCCATAGCCGATCGGATCGATCGGGAGCGAAGGTCCGGCTGTGGCGCCTCCAGCTCCAGGCATGGCGGCAGATCAGAAGCTCCAGCACCAGCCGTCGGCAGTGTCGCTCATCGCCAAGAACTTTGCGTGCAGTGCCTTTAGCGCCTGCTTCGCCGAGGTCAGTGCTTGTTCCTCCCTTCCTCTTCCTCCCTGCCGATCGGGTCGCGTTTATTTCGGGATTTAGTGATAGGAGTGATGCATTTGGGCTGGATTGACGAGTAGCTTGCTTGTGTAGGTCACTACCATTCCTATCGATACTGCTAAGGTGAGGCTCCAGCTCCAGGGGAAGGCTGCCGAGGGAGCCGATGCCTCGCGATTGAAGTATAGGGGATTGTTGGGTACCGTGACGACTATTGCCAAGGAAGAGGGCGCCGGAGCGCTGTGGAAAGGAATCGTTCCTGGCTTGCACCGCCAGGTTTTGTTTGGAGGTCTTCGAATTGGGCTTTATGAGCCTGTAAGTTGATCGAGGCTCTTCTACTCTTTTTTTTTTCTTTTTCCTTCTTTTTCTTTCATCTCTAATGAGCTATGGACTGATTGCTGCAGGTCAAAATGCTATATGTTGGAAAAGATCACACCGGTGACGTGCCTTTGGTCAAGAAAATTGCCGCGGGACTCACGACAGGTCTGCTACTTTGGCCTGTTTCGTTCCTTGATTTTGGTGTCTTTGCTTACGATTAATCTCTTTTGGCAGGTGCTTTAGCCATAACTGTTGCGAATCCTACTGATCTTGTGAAGGTTCGGCTACAGGCCGAAGGAAAACTGGCACCCGGAGTTCCTCGGCGGTACTCCGGAGCAATGGATGCTTACGGGAAAATAGTGAAACAGGTATGGCGAACATACTGTCTTTTCATCTCAAGTCCGACTCTTCATCTCATACAGGAAGGTTTCGCAAAACTTTGGACTGGCCTGGGTCCAAATGTGGCCCGTAACGCTATCATCAACGCGGCCGAGCTCGCTAGCTATGATCAAGTAAAACAGGTTCGTGTCGGTCAGTTTCGACGAGCTTCCAACTCCATAACGTTCGTTTCAGTCACTTTTAAAAGCTGGCCTTCCAGACAACAGTTTAACTCACGTATTGTCCGGATTGGGAGCTGGATTTATTGCCGTTTGTGTTGGATCTCCGGTGGATGTGGTATGTAGCATGTGGTATGTAGCAGTGATTCCAACTAGAAATTCATTTTATCTTTTGTAGGTGAAATCGAGGATGATGGGAGATTCTTCCAAATACAAGGGCACTATCGACTGTTTTGTAAAGACTTTACAAAACGATGTAACGTTTCCTCGCAATCTCGATTTCAAGCTCATGACTGTGGTGGTGGTTTTGTAGGGTGTGACTGCGTTTTACAAAGGATTTGTTCCAAATTTTGTCCGGCTGGGCTCATGGAACGTGGTGATGTTTTTGACTCTAGAACAGGTCTGTCCAACATGTTTTTTTTGGTCTAACTGCTGATTTGCTGATCTTGTTGTGTAGACGAAGCGCTTGATTCTGGGAAAGGAGTGATTCGCTCTATTATTTTCATGACCACTCGCATGGAGTTTATTCTTTTATTCTTTTCTTTTCTTTTGATGAAATAATGGGGAACATATTTCAGGACTATTATTTAGAGCGTCCGGACTGTGGCATGATTTTTGGGATTTTTTTTTTTCTTTCTCAGAGCGTGTTAGGCAACATGAAAGAAACTTTAGTAAACTCGCTGGTCCACCACAGTGCACGAGGCTATGTGCCACGTTCTCAAACTGCTACGAGTGAGGTACTCAACCTTTCCATGTTTCTGATGGTGCCTCATTCTCCTAGATGCAGGAATGGGCTGCTTCTGGTTTCACAAGGACAGGAATCGGCATTCATTGAAAACTGAGGATGAAGCAGAGTTGGTCCTGAAATCCTTGGAACTGATGAGAAGTTCTCAAAAGGTGTCCGTTTTTCCAGGCCTCCGATGGATCCACGCACCAACGTCAACTCGTCCGCTTCACAGACACACACTTTCAATACCGCTGGCAGGAAGAAATCCATTACCTCTTTGGGAAGGTGGTGGGAAGAACACGATGAGAAGATCCTGCGAGTCATTTGCAAAGTGGGAGCCGCTCTATGTGCTGATTGAGAAGGGGACATTCAAAGGAACGCCGCTGCCACTTCCTCCCCCACCAAAGGAATTGGAAGATGACTGCCTGGTGCCTCCTCTAGTGCCAAGAACGAACGTTTCTTCGCTGCCGATTTCACCAGACATATGGGGAGTGAAGTTGAAGTGCTTCAGATTTGAGGAGCTCTATTCGGCCTGCCAGGAATTCTCTTCCGGGTGCTGCATCAGGGAAGGCGTCTTTGGGAAAGTGTACAAGTGCCTCATGCACATTCGGGATGGTCAACACATTGGAAAGAGGAAGATTGAAGTTGCAGTGTTCAGGCTCCGTGACAGTATTCAGGTACTTGAAAGTTCCTATTTAAGCTTTTGTGTCAGAAGTTTTTGCAGGACCTCGAAACTTGGATCACCAAGGTGAAATGGATTGCACGGATGCAAAATCCCAACGTTTGCAAACTGATCGGGTTCTGTGCGTCGGCACAGCACAAAGACCGGCAGCTGGAGAGGCTTTTGGTGTTCGAGCACTGTGACTATGGAGGCCTGAACGTCCTGCTCTCGAAGAGCCAGTATATACGTCCTCTTTACTGGTCGACGAGAGTAAATATCGCTCTTGGTGCGGCCAGAGGTCTCGCTTATTTACACGAAAGAGCTTACTTTCAGGCAAGCAAGCTCTATACTGACGTCTCAGATTTCAACGTTGATATCGCAGGTTGTTTACACAGACCTTACTCCTGCGAGTGTGTTGATTGACAAGGATTTCAATGCCAAACTTTCGGACTACGGTCTGGGCTTGGATAGGCCAAAGGTAAGGAAATGCGTCAGTTTGAGTTTTGTCCATAAGTTTCGTTCTTGTTTACTTTGACAGGCCTTGGACTCTTCTAAATGGGACGAGTGCATCAAAAGGGATGTTGCCGACTTCGGCTTGGTGCTGCTAGAGCTGCTCGTTGGAAGCAAGAATATGAAGAGGCTGCTTGCAAGGAACGATGGCTCCACAAGATGGATTCCCAGGCTGTTGCGTGAGGAGAGTAAGCTACAAGAGATGGTGGACTCGGAACTGAGGAGTGAGCCAGAGCTGCTACCCTCGATGAGAAGGCTGGCTGCTGTGGCACTCAAGTGCTTAAGGAAGGAATCTCATCTCAGACCGGGTATGGACCAGGTGGTGGCGCTGTTGGAACCTTTACAAAGCTTGGAAGGAAGAGTAAACACATGGGAAAGACATTTGAATAAATAAATACTTTATATTTTATTTTAAACATTGATTGTTTTTCATTTTCTTACAATATTATGATCAATTTACTTAAGCTTATATATTATATTTAAAGATACTAATATTTATTGTTATATTATCTTTAGATCAAAGTTTTGGACGTGCTATAAGATATGATTTATTGATACTACTCATTTGCTACTTTCTATGGGATATGAATATGTTATAAATTACTCATATTCTTAGTGTCTAATTGATAAATGATGCATGTTTGTGCTTGAAAAATATTTGAGAATTGAATTTGTAGAAAGATGAAAACAGAGTATAATAGTTTGAAATTGTTATGGATAGGGGTTATTTCCATCTTTGGCTTCATTGTTTATTGCTTCGTTTGGTTTAATAATATAATTTACCTCAGCAAATTTTATGAAGTCTAGCACATAGTTATATTTCATCTTAATAATTATATCTTCTTCTGTCTAAATTACTTAAGAAGAAAAGAGTTTGATACCTTAATATTTTTATGGATTCTTTTTTATTTGATTTTTTCTTTTCTCTTGTGTTTGGCACCTTATTGTGTTATGATCTATTGATTTAAATCTTATCTTTGCAAATTATCTGAATATCGATATATATGCTGCTGTATATTTTAGCATTGATTAAGTGTTTTTTATTTAAATTCATTTTGTGTGATTCTCTTTTTGTAAGTGTATCGCAAGTAGTTTGTGATAGCAATTTGGGGGTTTGGGGGGGGGGGGGTTACCTAGGGTGGGTGGCTAGGCAAAAACCTGTGTAATACTACAAAATATATGAAAAAAAAAACATATATATGATTAAATCGTTGTAACATACATGTGTAATACATAAAATATTTTATGTGTTACACATGTATGTTACAACAATTTAATCATATATATATTTTTAACCAGATCATATATATTGTTATCTTACAAATATCTATTGTGTGGATCTCATTCTTAGTGAAGGTAATGAAAAGCATTTTGCACAACAAATCATTACAATGCCAAAAACTCACCATTATATATTTTAAACTCTTTCTTTGTTAATTGGTTAAACCCCTCTTATAAACCCTATAAATTGAACCAATGGTCTAGAGACAAAAAAATTTGTAGTAAAGATTTGTTATCTCACAGATATTTATCATGTGGATCTCATTTTTAGTGAGGGTAATGAAAAGCATTTTGTGCAATAAATCATTATAATGCCAAAAACTTTAACACATGATTATAAACGTGAGAAATCAATAGAGTTAATGCCTTACCATGGTTATAATAAGATCTATTTGCTTGTAGTAAAACCATCACACTCAATGCCCCAAGCACCTAAAGAGATGCTTTCCTCTATGTCAATCAATTACTATATAGATTAAGGTGCTATGTTGCAAGAAGGCTATGATTAGAGTGTGTTATACATGTGAGAAATGAGCCATAACCACATGAAATGAGAGGAGAAAGATAATCATAATCAAGAGATCACAAATTTGCACTCAATAACACAAAAATGAGATAAAAACCCTCACTAAATTTATGGTTATGTTATATTGTTATATTATTATGTGGCATTAGTCTTGCGTGGCAGTTTGAGGTGTCATGTCCCATGCATACACGGATATCTCATAACAAAAATATTGTATATGCCACCATTTCGATACCAATGAAATGACAAGGAGCAAACCCTAGGCTACAACCCTTAAGGCAATAGGCCATAGAATATTCTTAGAATATTTCTGTGGTTTGTGTCATTAATTTAAACAAGTTTGCACTAGTCTCGTTTTGACTAAACTCAAGGCATATGCAATAGTGATTGAATCACTTAGGGTATGTTACAATTGAAATATACCTCAAAAATATAAGAGATGAGCCATAGCCATGTGAAATGAAATGAGAGAGATGATCACAATCAAAAGATTACAAATTTGCACTCAATAATACAAGGAGATAAAAAACCTTCATTAGATTTGTGGTTATGTTATATTGTCTGAGATGATGTGGCATTAGTCTTATATGACAATCTAAAGTGTCATGCCCCATGCTCTCATAACAAAAAGATTATACATACAATCATGTTTTGATTGCTTATATAGCAATCATAAAGTGATTGTGTGTATAATAATTTTATATGCAACTCAAAGTAAAAAAATAAATCCACATATGTATAAATATATAATGCAGGCATGTTCAATTACATACTCACTAGAGTATGTGATTGATTGTTTAAAACATACAACACCACCAATTGACATTTAGTGTCATTACAAATACCTCCAATAATAGGCAACATTCTCATGGACATTAGAATTATATCTATATATGCATCAGAAAAAATGATTTGGCAATGTTGCTATTCTAATTTGTTGAGATGACAAATAAATATTAAGGATGATTCATTAGTATAATAGCATGATTATATACTAATGTTTGGTTTGCTTAAGAAATACCTGTTGGTAGAGGATATACCTAGAATATACATGGATATTCTAGAATATTCTACTATCTAACGGTTGTTATTCATTTAAATTAATCTTGTATTTATAATTTATAAACATATTTACAATTTACAAACTTTCCTAAACACTTCTTAGTATATTCATTTTTATTCTACCATCAAGTGGTTAATAAACAATAATATTAATCTTGATTTATAAATTATAAATTAACTATGTCTATTGGATTATTCAATGACACTACTATTAAACAAACCAAGCATTCTTGCATGCAACATGCAGAAAATTTATTATATACTTTAAAATAGTACATTTTATGAATTTCTAAGTACTAATTGTAGATCAATTTTATATTGATAGATGTAATAATACAATAAACATAGTTCTAAATTTATTTACTATTCTTTATTATATATAACTATTTACACATATTATGACAATGATAATTCTAGTATAATAAAGAAAAGAAAATTTATTTTTTTGTATGTGGATATTGGCATAGCCCATATGTAGATATTAACTATGTCTATTATATTATTAAATCTGTCAATCTTAGAACCTTCCATAAGATATCTATATAAAAATTCTATTTTAAAGTATAGAAGTGAGAAAAATAAATATATTATTAGCTTAAAAACCCTAGCTTATATGCAAAAATGAGTGGTCCAAATTAAAACCAATTCAAAAGCTATTAGAATCAAACTACACAATTAATAGTATATAGCATTATACCCATACATATATAGACTTTATACCATCCCTTCCTCTTGAAAAGATAGAAGTCAATTAAGGTTCTCATTTTAATAAGCTAGGATTTACAAAAATATTAGGAGGAAACACAATAGGTCTGTAGGTAGTGCAACTTGTTACAATGTTGTACAAAGCACTTCTATTTCAAATATTCAAATATTTGCTAATGGAGTATATATTTTCTAATACTAAAATAGCATTAAATTCTATTTAACTTTGTTTTATGTGTTAGTCTTAGCATTGGGATGTTGAAAGCTCTAAAACTATTCCAATTTTATTTCATGTTCTTATTTGGTTCTATCCCTTTGTTTAATGGCCCACGACCCTTAAATTCTATTGCCCTTAGCACACATGTCCAAAAGTTAAATTTTGCTTTGTGGCTACCATATGATAATTCACTATAGGTAAGATATAGGGTTAAAATCTTAAACCATCTTGTCTATCTTCCATTACCTTAACAAGAACCCTCACATATTTGGCATTAATCCCTTCATATCATTATATGATAATTTCTCTTCATCCCACTTCCTTCAAACACCACTTTCCAAGTTCTAAGTGCTAAAAAAGAACTTCAAACTTGCCTTTACTGTTGTTCTATTACTCCATCTATAAGGTATTTTATAATAATCTTTAAAAAGATTAATTTAAGTGTATTAAAATGAGAAGACATGGGGCATTTTGGGTGAGTTAGTAAACTATTTATTTGCATGGATTACAGTCTAATAGTGGCATAATGATATAGATCATAGGAAGTGCTGCTTTGGAGTTGTGCCTTAAATGCAATCATCAAATAGTTTGTTCCAGTTGTTTTCCCAAACTGAAACTGAAAATACATAATAACAAATTTAAAAGCTGGAAATTTTTCCACATAGATTAGTATGTAAGTTTAGTATTACAGTCCTGAGATGGATAATTAGAACTTATGTTGTCTTTGTCAGTAAAATGAGGAACATTGTAGCAGTCTAATAGGGATCGTCTCACATTCATGGACACATCGCTGTCACCCCTCCACTTGACACATCAGCAGTTCCCGTTGTGTCGGCTTCAGTTAGGGTTCACCTACAAACCACAAAGAACAGAACTTTCACACAAACAAAGCAAACCAAATTATTGTGCTGCAAATTAAAGTGTTATTGTATTTATAATTTTTGAATGCATCACTTTATTGTCAGCAGGGTTAGAAATTTCCAAAGAGAATTTCCAAAGAAAGAGAAAGCCCCACTACGAAGGAGAATGACTTGCCTCCTGAAACGGATGCCAACATCCAAACGACCACATTCTTCGTCTTCTCTTTTTTCTCTTTTTTCTCAAAATCCCCCGTAAACTCCACACAAGCGAATGAGAGCCAAAAGATCGGTTCCAACTCTACTTTCCAGGTTCACAGGACTAATCGTTTTCATTTGTCCAGCGTGGTTCATCACCTACAAGAGCCTACTTTGGGATCCTACAACCAAACATGAAGGTAAGAAGACAAACAGCAATGGACAAAAGCGAAAATTTAATGCTCACAAACAGAGTGTGATCTCTCCCATGGGAAGTGGATACGAGATCCAACAGGACGTCCTCTGTACACAAACGGGACCTGCGAGTTCATCCAACCAGCTCAAAATTGCGAGAAGAATGGAAGACCAGATAACGAGTACCTTAAGTGGCGATGGAAACCGGATAGTTGCGAGCTGCCACATTTCGATCCCAGCCTCTACTTGAGTTTAGTGAGAGGTAAGAAGCTACTGTTCCTTGGAGACTCGCTGGCCCGGAATCACCACCAGTCGCTCTTGTGCTCCCTATCACAGGTAGAAATTTCGTTTCTGCTACACAACCTCTCGATCTTTCTAGTGTTCTAGGTAGAGACGCCCCGCGAGCTCTACGCGCGAGGACGTAAGGATATCAAGCTCGAGTTCCCCTCTCACGGCTTCGTTCTCGCGATCCTCTGGTCGCCGCTGCTCGTCCAGCACCGGAGAACCTCCCAGGCCTTTGAGATCCACCTCGACACTCCAGAAGCGGTTTGGGCCTCGGAGGTTTCCTCGTACGACATCGTGGTCATCTCCGCAGGACAGTGGTTCTTCCGGCCAAGCATCTATTACGTCAAGAACACCACAGTTGGACGCAATGAGCAGCTTCCACACAGCAGCTTACCAGACGTGAAGTTCACATATGGACTAAAGATGGCGTTTGCAAGCGCGTTGGAATATGTGCTTCACAGTGCCGGCTTCAGTGGCCTGCTGATCCTCCGGACGGAAGCAATGTCGCACTATGAGCACGGGCAGTGGAACTCGGGTGGCACCTGTAACAAGACCAAGCCCACAGCAAACCAGAGCAGTGAAGTCACTTGGACGCCAAGCGAGATGAGGAGATTACAACTTGAAGCGTCAAGGGAGGTGCTTACCAGAAAAAGCCGCGCCAAGTTCAGGATCATCGACATCACCAGGAGTATGTTCTTGAGGCCAGATGGACATCCTGGGAGATACAGAGGTCAGGAGGATCTCGTAGTCCACGACTGCCTGCACTGGTGCTTACCAGGGCCAATCGATATGTGGAACCAAATGCTGCTTCATGTTCTACAAGAAGAAGTTAGCCAAAAGTTATAGCGTGCTCGTCTATGGGTGGCGGTATCACTATTTTGTTGTCACTAATAAGCTGTAGAAAATCAAAGTCAGAAACTAGCAAAGATAGACTCACCGCTAAATGCTGCCACGAGCCTGTGGAGGAAGCTGCTGCATGGAACAATCCAAAAGAGTGAGCACATTGAGCTTAATCAAAAAAGCTCGTAGCTTCTTAGAAATCCAACCTTTACGAAAAAGTCTTGTGTCTTCTTCCAACATAGTTCTCCTCGTGCTTCAACAGTGCTCCCAGGTTCTATCGACACGGTCATACTTTTGCCAGCACCATTATTAAAGAAGAACCTGGAAACCAAGCAGAGATACAGAGACAAGGCTGGCTGACCTCGACTTGTCACCAAACTGATGGGCGAGAAAACTAAGTTTGCTTTGCAGGAATGATTAAATGTGTACAGATCTTCTTGCCTGCGTGCTTGCGAAGGCAAAAAGTTATAAGGCGAGCAAAAAAAAGAAACAATCCCTGTACATGCCAGCTCCCAAAAATGCTTTCTGCTTCTTACCGAGCTCGATTACCGCTGGCAGTCGCTCGCTGCCTGCTCCTTGTCATGTACCTGGCAGCTGACGAAGATGATGCTACCGCCCCAGCGGCATTGCCATTTGGCCTCATCACAATCTCTTCTTCCTCTTCCTCCAGATCAATGGGCTCGCGGATCACCGTATGCAGGTTCTGTGGAGCTACAGGCGGACTTTGAACCATTGGAAAGCGAGGATAAAAGCCAGGATTGTATCCAGCGTCCGCTGCCGCTGGCCCGAAATTTGCTGCGGGTGGAGCTGCTGGAGCTGGAGGAGCTGATGCCTCGTAGCCAGGAGGCAGCGCAGGCGGATAAAACGCTCCAGTTGGTCGGATAGGAACTTGAGGAGGCGGCGGATAATTGCCGGGAGGAGGAGGAGGATCCTAAAAAAGAGAGAAGTTTGAGTCATCAGTTTCTGATAAACTCCTCAACAATCCTTGAGAATTACCTGAGCAGGAGGTGGCGGTGGCGGTGGTGGCGGGGGCTGTGCAGCTGCTGTCCTATGGCCCTGAGCAACAATGTACTGGAGGATCTCGAAGAACTTGGTTTGCATAAACGCTGAGCTCCTCTCCCAGTACGCAGCCACGAAGTCAAGAGCTCTGGTTCTTAGCTCGTTTAGGTGCTGATCGATCTCGGACTCGTGGCTCGCAACGTAAGGTCTCAAGAATGTGGTGTAAATGTATGCCGTTCCCTGGAAGAGGAGAATTGTGAATCTAAGGAAACCTTTGGAAGAAAATTTGCTTACCCTTCTTGCATAAAAGAGGTAGATGATGAATGCGAGCTTAGCTTCCTGGTACATCGGAATCCTGCAAAGCGGGACAAAAACTCTGACTGACCGCTGAAGAAAACAAATAACCGTGCTTACCACGAAATGAAAGTGTCAGCAAATCTCTCCATCACAGTGACCAAGGCGATGAGAATCCTGGAAGAGGGACCGACTCAAGAATCACACAGTGCCGGAATTCGAATTCTTCTCACCAGTACTGGCACCAAAATCTGAGGCTCTCCACGCTGGGTCTCCGCTGCTCCACGACCTTGAAGCATTCGTAGGCGGGATAGAGGTACCCCACGAACATCCTGCACGGATCGCTCAGTCCGGGAAGGAAATAAAAACAAAAGAAAGCGAGCTCACGTTATCCCCCGCGTCGCGAACGATCCGATCATTGTGCCTGCCTAGAGCACCAGGCTACGCGCAAGAGGGAAATCTGGGAAGCCGGGAAGAAGAAGAGAGAGCGCTCTCAAGAACCCTAAAGTTCTGAGTGTGTTATTTACTCTATAGCCTTTCTGCCGTTTAGACTTGACGGACGTCAAGTCACGCGCCGCGTTGACAAACTCCCGCTTAAACGCCCATTTGAAATCGTGAGGCTTTTAACGTTTATGGTCTAACCACGAGACAGAGCTTGGGATATTCGCGAAAGATACTACACCTAAGCCCTAGCTTAAACCCTAAATGCGGAGCGCGTAGTCGCGAATCGCGATGGTAAGAAAGGCGATCTCTTTCTCTCTGATTCGAATCGTGTGCTCTTGGCCTGGCAGTCTGGCGATCTCCGGAAGTGGCTCTTGAAGCCGCATCAAAAGAAGGGGGAAGAGCAGCAGCAGCAATCGAGCGATGCGAAAGAGCCGGCCAAGGGAAGAGCAGCCAAGAGCGACAAGCCAGCAGCTGCCAAGGAAGAAATCTCGCCAAAGGGCAAGAGAGGAAGAGGTAAAGCAAAGGAGGTTGTGAGCGAGGAACCAGCGCAATCAACCAAGGATGAGAAGGAGGCCCCTCCTAAGGGCCGGGGACGTGGTAGACCAAAGAGCGATAGCGTGAGTGAGAAGCCAGCGCAAGCTGACGTATCCAAGGATGATTCCGTGGCGGAAGTTTCTCCAAAAGGAGGCCGTGGACGAGGGAGAGGGAGGGGTGCTGCGGGTGAAAAGCCAGCCGGCGGTAGAGGCCGAGGAGGTGGTCGTGGAAACTTCAACTTTGGTGCTCGAGAGGCGCCTCCACACAAAGGAGAGAAGGTAAAGCATGCTTCTTTCTCCTAGTTTTTTCTTGGTGGTGGTATTCATTACTTTTGAGAATGTAGGAAGTTCCAGAGGGAGCCGAGAATGCGTTGGCTGGTCTTACGTTTGTTATCAGTGGAACACTGGACAGTCTCGAGCGCGAAGAAGCTGAAGATCTGATCAAGAGACATGGTGGTCGAGTGACGTCTGCGGTCAGCAAGAAAACGGTGCGTTTTGAGGATGTCTTAGATTAATGAAATAGAGCTGAGGCATTGCAGAGTTTCTTACTTGCGGATGAAGATGTAGGGGGTCAAAAGTCCAAGAAGGCTCATGACTTGGGGTGAGTGTTTCATCTCTCTTCTGAGCTACTCATCGCTAGACGTCTTTGCAGAACTCCATTTATTACCGAGGATGGCCTCTTTGACAAAATTCGTGCGTCAAAACCAAAGGCTGATTCGCCTTCGAAAGTACCTGCGAAGCGCCCAGCAGAAGGTAATTACTTGCTTCATATAGTGCGCAATAAGTTTTCTTTGCGTATTTCACAGGAACTAGTGCGCAACTGCACGTAGACAAGAAGCCGAAAGTGGAAGAGAAACAGCCGCCTCCAAAGATCTCACCTTCAAAAGGATTAGCATCAGCGCCGCAGTCAAGTCGAGCTGGAGTGACTGAAGAAGAAACGTGGCCATTTAAGCACAAACCAAAAACAACTGCTGATATTATTGCAAATCAGTCCATTGTAAGTATCTCAACTCTTTATTCGGAACAATGTTTGATTCACGTGCCTGGCACAGGTAAAACAACTAAAAGACTGGCTCTCAGACTGGGAGAAAAACAACAACGCTGTGGCTGCAAGTGCCAAAGGTAAGAAGGCTGCCAGCAGCAGTGCTTCAAAGAAGGCTGTGCTTCTGTGCGGGCCACCTGGCATTGGAAAAACTACAACTGCTAGGCTTCTATGCGAAGAGCTGGGATATGAAGCTGTAGAGGTCTGTCTTGCTATAGTTCTGAAGGTCATTTTCTTACTCTTCTTTACAGGTAAATGCAAGTGATAGTCGTGGTAAAGCAGATTCTAAAATAGTAAGAGGAATAGGAGGCTCTACGTCCAACGCCGTGAAAGAAATGGTCAGCAATGCATCTCTGGGAGGCTGGTACGATATCAAAAGGGCTTTACAAGATTATAACTCTGTGCACGTGTTACAGGGCGGGAAAACAATCGGTACTTATTATGGATGAAGTTGACGGCATGTCGGCGGGTGATCGTGGTGGAGTAGCAGATCTTATTGCAAGTATCAAGATCAGCAAAGTTCCGATCATCTGTATCTGCAATGATCGCTACAGTCAAAAGCTGAAAAGCCTCGTCAACTATTGTCTTTTATTGTCGTACAGGAAACCCACTAAACAACAGGTACTGTGAAAGCATTGCTGTTATTCAGTGTTGATTGACTTCATGTTTCAGATGGCTAAAAGACTCCAAGATATTGCACGTTCAGAAAAGCTAAACATTGATACGGTAATCCATTGAAAATCAATTCCAGTTCTTACCGGTTGTCACCTCTGCAGATAGCACTCGAGGAACTATCAGAACGTACCCACGGGGATATGCGGCTCGCTCTGAATCAGCTTCAATACATGAGCTTGCATACAAGTGTTTTGAAGTATGATGATATCAAACAGTACGCAGTGGCCAGTGGGAAAGACGAAGATATCAGCCCGTTTTCTGCGGTTGACAAGTAGGTCGTGTTTTCGTTATGCATTGGCTGACATTTACTCTCTTGTTAGATTAATGGGATTTGAGGGAGGCAGGCTGAAAATGGACGACAGAATAGACCTGGCAATGTCGGACATGGATTTGGTTCCACTTATTATACAGGTAACTAACTGCTTGCCTGAAGCTCGACTGTGATTATTTGCGTTCAACCAGGAAAATTATCTAAATTTTGTACCATCTGGTGCTGGGCGAGACGCCAATGGAACAGCTCGTATGGATCTTCTTGCTCAGGCGGCTACAAGTATAGCGAGTGCTGACATTCTAAATGTTCAAATTCGAAGGTTTCGGCAATGGCAACTCTCTCGGTCAAGTGCTTTCATGTCTTCTATCATTCCGTAAGTAGATGTTAATATTGTCTGCTTTAATTTTTATGTGAGTTTCTATCGTGCAGTGCTTCCCTTATGCATGGGAAAAGGGAAGTGCTTACTCAGGTACAGTCATTTCATAATTAGAATTTTGCTACTTGAACCGGAGTTTCTCAGTCACCTGTTTGTAGGGGGAACGAAACTTCAATAGATTTGGGGGCTGGCTTGGTAAAAACTCCACGTTTGGCAAGAAAACCCGTTTGCTAGAAGATGTTCACGCGCACGTGCTTTGCTCTCGTATTGGCGAGCCTACTCGGTATTTAGTTGTCTTGAAAAAACGTGACTCTGACCGTGTGATTTTCAGGAGGGACTTGCGGCTAGATTATTTCCCAGTTTTAAGTACGCAATTGACTCAACCATTACGTATCATGGACAAGGTTCAAAGCTATGACTTATAGGAGTTATATGTTGAACATATATGTTTCGATTGCAGAGCGATGCAGTACGAGCTGTGATTGATGTCATGGAGGAATACTCGCTGACTCAAGGGGACATGGACACGATTCTGGATATCACTAAGTTCGAGGTAGTATGTTCTTGAGAGTTACTCTGTGTGCTCAAGTGTGGCGTTTCAGGGGCGTCCTGACCCGTTGGAGGGAGTTCTTCCAGCAGTAAAAGCAGCACTTACAAGAGGATTTACCCAAAGTCTTCAATCCCGGCGTGTGAAAACCGCCGACCTCTTGCCTTCTGTATTTCCGGGCCAGAAGAAAGTTTCGAAGAAGAAGGCTCGACTTGTCACACCGGAAGACGATGCAGAGGGGGATGAAGTACTCAAACAAGAAGAGGATGAAGGTACGTTGGAAGGTTTTACATCGTAGTTTGTGCTAATGGAGCTTTTAGACGAAGCTGACGAGGAAGTGGACGAAGTTGAGAACAAGGAAAGCGGCCTAGGTTTGTCTCTGAGTTTCAGTTTCAATGGTTCTGATTGGCTTTCTCCAGATGCACTGAAGATGGCAAAGGCGGGGTATGAAGTTAATGTTGTAGGCGAAAATTTCAGTGGAGGTGAGCTACCTAAAACTTAGGACGCGTACTAATATTACAATCTTTCTGCAGCTAAGCGTAATGGTAGTGCTAGTAAAACTAAGCAGACCAGAGGAAAGGCTACCACTCCGAGTGCCTCGGCAAGCAAAGGCAAGGGGAGTGGTACTAAGCGCAAGAGATAAGAGTTTTTTGTTTATGCGAATTTTATTATCGCTGTTCATAGACAACAAATATTACTTTAACGTTTTTAGGATTTATCAATACTCCACTCTCAACCAACGCAGCAAACTAGTGATCTTGACAAGCGTCAAGAGTTATTCTGAAGAAATGTAAACTTTGGCTTAAAGCTGTTCATAAGGAGGTGGTTGACAATGTACTTGTTCACAAGCTACTCAACCTTCCAACCAAATCGCGAAGGCATTGGAAACATCTTGGGAGGTATAAAAATCCCGAGCTGACAAACTCCTGGACAAAGCAGCTCGAGCTCCAAGGCAGCGAAGGAAGAAGAGGCTCACAGCAGGAACTTTGGCCTGTGAGAAAGATGGCGAAGCTCTGGATTGCAGTGGTCTTTGGAACGATCGGGATCCTCGCAAGCGTTGCTAGCTCGCAGCTGAGCGTGGGATTTTACGAGAAGCAATGCCCGCAAGTGGAAGCGGTGGTCCAGAGCTTCGTCCAGGATGCCATCACCAGGAAGCCGGGAGTTGGAGCTGGGCTGCTTCGCCTACAGTTCCACGACTGCTTTGTCCAAGTAAGATTTCTCTCTATGTTTTTGTCTACTAAAAGTTTCATGCTGTTCTTCTTTTGATTCCAGGGGTGTGACGCTTCCGTGCTTATAGATTCCACCAAGAACAATTCTGCCGAGAAGGACGCTCCACCCAACATAAGCTTGAGGGGATTCGAGGTGATCGACGCAGCCAAAGCAGCGTTGGAGACGCAGTGCCCGGGAGTGGTGTCCTGCGCAGACATCGTGGCGTACGCTGCTCGAGACAGCGTCTTCAAGGCACTGTTCTTTCCTCATCTTTTCCAGATCAAACTCACATCTTGTTTTTCGTTTCTTTCTCAGCTTGGAGGGCCGTTCTGGGAGGTGCCGGTCGGGAGAAGAGACGGGACGATCTCGCGAATGAAGGAGGCAAATGCGAGCCTGCCAGCTCCGTTCTTCAACGTGGCGCAGCTCACCCAGAACTTCGCAGCGCAGGGCCTCTCTCAAGACGACATGATCGTTCTCTCGGGTAAAAATCAAATTTTTAAACTCTCTAGCCGCGCTAAAGAAAAAAAAACTTTGACCTTCAGGAGCTCACACGATCGGGATCGCGCACTGCTTCACATTCAGCCCCAGGCTGTACAACTTCAGCGCCAACGCTTCCACGGATCCCACCCTGGATCCAAACTTCGCGACCGCCTTGAAGAAGCAGTGCCCGCCAGGGAAAGCCGCGGCATTCAACTCGGTGGTGCTCGACTCCCACACTCCCATCCACTTCGACAACAGCTACTACGTGAATCTGGCGCTGCAAAAGGGCGTGCTGGGGTCGGACCAGGTGCTCTTCTCGGACGCGGCCACCAGCAAGGCCATCAAGACGAGCTCCGTGGACGAGGAGAGCTGGCGGGCCAAGTTCGCGGCGGCCATGATCAAGATGGGCAGCGTCAAGGTGAAGACGGGGCAGCAGGGCGAGATCCGCAAGAGCTGCCGAGCGGTCAATCACTCGTGAGTGATCGATCGTCGACCAGCTCGAGGAAAGAAGGCATGACGAAGAAGTCGTGAAATCGTGATCGAGAAAGAGGACGTACTTTTTGTAATTAAATCGATCGCTCGCAAGTTTATATCCATTGTTTATAAAAGATTTGCTCCAATGTCTTAACGTTCTTCGCGGTGAAGTGGCGATTTCTCTTTTGACACGTTGTTTTAGGGTTTTCGATGGGGAACAGTGAGAGTCGCGACGAGGAATTCGGGCTTGTTTGCAGGTGCGTGTCGCATTTCTCGATCGGCGCTGCATTGATGCGCTAGTCTCTCACATTTTCGCGATCGGCGCTACGTTGATCTGATCAGGAGGTTCTCGGAATCGGAGGTGAATCAGCTCAAGAAGCTCTACCTCTCGCTTGCTGCGCAGTCCCGAAGCAATGGAGAGTATATCATCGCTTCAGTCTTCCAGGTACACAAGATCCTCTCTCTCTCTCTCTCTCTCTCTCTCTCTCTCTCTCTCTCTCCCCCACTGAGTCTCTTTTCTCTTTGGCAGGCTTACTACGGAATCCATGGCGCTCTTGGATCTCGTCTCTTTGATCTGGTTACTCAGCTCCGGAAAGACCAGCGTATGACTTATCGAGATTTCGTCACCGCTAAGGTTTGCTTCGCGACATCTCAACTCTCAGTTTCGTTCTTTCTTTCCTTTTCACAGGCAAAATATGAGAAAGGCTTTCCTGACGAAGTGGAGGAGTTCATGTTTAAGCTGCTCGATCTGAATGGCGACGATCTCGTTGACAGGTTCGGTTTTAGGAATTACAAAGAAACGAAACCATGTATTTGTTGTTATTGTCAGAGAGGAGGTTGAAGCTGTGATTCTTTCCATTCTAGAGACTGTTCTTGGCCCCAAGGACGCCGTCACTGGCGATGGCTTGCCAGACTCAAGCGTCCAAGCGTTTCTAAAACCCGTGAGATGGACGGAGGATCAAGGAAAGCTCTTGATGACCCCTCAAGAGTTTCATCGGTGGTGTAAGCTGGTGCCCTCAGCAAAAAAGTTTCTCACGAACATATTACACTCTCCAGGAACAGGTTCGTGAGTTTTCCTTCTTCTGTACTGTATAACTAGCTAGATCTGTTTCTACAGTGCAGTCATCCGTGGGCGCCAGGTCCCTCAGTTCTTGATCCCACCAAAGCTTGACAACCAAAACATTATTTTGAGAAGAGAACACGCTTGGCACATCGCCGGGAAGCTACAACCGCAAGAGTGCGAGGACTGGATGCTCCTCTACCACAGCTCAGTGAATGGAGCGAGTTTCAACACCTTCTTGAAGAGTGTGAGGTAGTGTTCCTCTCTTTTCCTTTTCTTCAATGAGATTCTTTTCTGTGAACGATCCATCTCCAGTGTTTCGAAAGGATGCACGATCTTGGTGATCAAGGACAAAGAGGGCTGCATCTATGGTGGCTATGCTTCTCAACCGTGGGAAAAGCACAGCGAATTCTACGGCGACATGAAGTGCTTTTTGTTCACATTGTACCCAGAAGCGGCTATCCATCGGCCATCCGGCTCAAACTCAAACTTGCAATGGGTAAATTTTCTTCGCATTTCTTTTGCTTTTCTCAAACTTCTCCAACGTACAGTGCGCGATAAACTACACTTCTCCCAACATACCAAACGGAATCGGCTTTGGGGGCCAGATTCACCACTTTGGGCTGTTCATCCACTCGGCATTCGATCGGGGAAGCACGTATCCGTCGGTGACATTCAACAGTCCAGCGCTGTCGAGCCAAGCAGCCATAACTCCCGACGTCATAGAGTGCTGGGGCATTGTGGTGAAAGGTGGCGAAGAGGGCGACAAAGGCGTGGCAGTGGGTCCTAAAGGCACCATTCTGGAGAGGTTCAAGGAAGAGCGAAACATGCTCAACCTTGTTGGAATCGCAAATGCAAGTCATAACTAAGTAAGAAACCTCTTATCGTGTTTATTTGTATGAATAATCACTTTGACAAGTTCTTCGAATGGACGAACAACACAAAGAAACTAGCTTTGCTCTAGTCATCTAGCAGTCGGAGGACGATGCCGGGCAGAGCAGTTCTATTCCTTCGAAGTCTTCACTCCTCTCTGAAGAAAAAGTGATATGCGGGTACTGTTTTCGTTTCAAGGAATGGAAACTTACGTAACGTCTCGAGTTTGCGAGCGAACATCAGATCTTACATCCGCAGCACCTGCAAAGAAAAACAAAATGGTTCCTGGCAAGAAAAAAGAGGGCACTCCGCCGGTATAGGGCCCATGTAGAAGTCCATCCTGTTGTCGGGGTCCGGCAGCGGCAGTGCCGACCATGTCCGGCTCGACATCCTGTAGACGCACTGGAAGTCAAGCTCAAGAAGGCTGAGGACCACCTCCTCCCCACGAGCCCACGCGCGGATACACCACTCTGATGCAAATCCTTGGAAAGATCTCTCGGCTCCAGCCTTTCGTCCAGGCGCAGCAAAGCCGTGGTTGCTATCACTCCATCACCGCTGCTGCTCGTTTGCATGCATGGGAGGACCACAGACAACTGGGAGGGATACGAAATTATCACTGACCATGAATTCCGGCGGCAGGCTCTTCCATCGCGCCAGAGTCCTCACCACCAAGCCACGATCAACGAAGACTTGAGCGAGTACTCCTGTGACCGATGCCAAGCTCGTCTTGGTGATGAAAAAACGTTGCTTCCATCTGGAGGCGAGCACCTGGCCAGCTCCAGTGTCCACTCCCCGGCTGCCGCTACTGCCGCACCACAGCGATGATCGTAGTTGTTGAAGGCGATCGACGTACTCTCTGAGGCATAGACCACCCGGAAGCTCGAGTCTGGGAACGCCTGGAAAGTGGCAATGGAAGCCCGCAATCTGGGGCTCCAGTGTAGTGGTGGAGGTCGAGTCCAGCAGCAAGCGAGAAGTGATGAACAGCTGGGCTTGCGTGGTCACTAGGAACAAGCCCGTCGAAGTTGCCGCTCACACCCGGAGGAGCTCTTTCGGAAGGTAATTCAGCGGAAGAGGGCTCCAAGCCAGCGCTTCTCCCCGGGGCTCGCCATCTTATGGCTGGTGTCCCAGGGAGACGAGGTCGAACGGTACATGCTTAACATTTGGAATGGCAGAAACTAACTCGTACATCTTTAGAAAATAATGACTTTCACAAAGAAAAAGATGGTGATAAGTTCTTACGAACAACACAAAGGAACTAGCTTGTTCTAGTCATCCACCACTCGGAGGACGATGCCGGGCAGAGTGGCTCCAAGCAGTCGAAAACGTCCCCTGGAAGAGCAGTGGCAAGAACACTGTCGGGGCTGCATGAATCTTCCACCGTCTTGGAGTTGCTACTGCTGCTACTGCTGCTAATGGCGATGCTCGCGGTGGCGGCGGCGGTGGTGGCGTTACCTTTCACCTCGGCGGAGTAGTCCAGGCTCGGAAGCTTGTCCCAGTGGCCGTGATGGCCGCCCAAGCCTGGCAGCGGGAATTCGTCGTGGTGGTGGACGAGCAAGCACTGCTGCTGGCTTTCCTGCTGGAGAAGAAACTCAAACTCACTGCTGGCCTCGCCGATGCTGCTCTGCTCCACCAGGAAGTTGACGCCAAAAACTCCACCGCCGCTGCCGCGCAAGGCGTGATGGCGATGATCGTGATGGGAGCTCTCTTCTTCCGACGCGTTCTCTTCCACACCATACCGCGCTTGCTCACGCTTGATCACTTTTGAGCGTCGGCTTCCAGCCTTGGAGGAGATCCTTGACGACGATCCGCCGGAGCCTCCCTGGAAGCTCTGGTAGCAAGCGGGGGCCGCGATGGCACCATCGTCACTGTCGTCTCGTTGTTGTTCGGGCAAGTAGAAACCTGACTCCGGAAAGAAGTGGTGGTCTCCAGCTGCTGCAATGTGCTCCATGCTAGGCACCATGCTGAGATCGCCATTCTCGAAACTTGGAAGCTCCGATGGCTCCATCTTCCCGCCCTCGAAGCCTGCATGGTGCTCGTCTTCTCCAAAGTAGAATGCCGTCTCAAAGTTGGTTGGCACTGTTGCTCCAGGAACCTGTTGATTCAGCGTATCAGCGTAAGAACTGTAAGAGTTTTCTTTTGAACATCGCACCTGGAAGGCTGTCAGCTCACTGGCAGCAGTAGTCTCGTAAATCGCGTCCGAGGACGAAGCCGCGGAGGCCTCACAGCTTCCAGGGGCCGCGCCGGACCCCATCTTTGGACGCTGCAAGGCTCTCAGCAGACGCTTTTGCCTGGTGCTCCAAAAGTTCTTCACGTCGTTGTCCGTGCGTCCAGGGAGATACGAAGCGATCTTAGCCCACTTGTTCCCAAGCTTGGATTGCATCTTCACCACCATTTTCTCCTCCTCGGGAGAGAACTTGCACCCACTTCTATGCCGCAATCACAATGCGATTAGTCCCACACAAGCGAGGGAAAAGAAGAAGTGAAAATCTCAAACAGGTACCTCTTGAGGTCGGGCTTGAGCTTGTTCACCCAGCGCAGCCTGCACGATTTCCCGGTTCGTGGCAACAGTCCCTTGGAGCGAATGGAGCTCCAGTCCCTGGGACCGTATTGACGAACGTACTCAAGCAGCACTTCGTCCTCTTCTGGCATCCACGGGCCCTTCCGTAGCACCACCTGGTCGCCACCCTGCTGGTGTTGCATTGTTTTGGTCACCACCATCGTTGCTCTTGGCTCGTCAAGCGTGACCAACAACGAGCAGCGTCCTCTCCGGGCATCTGCCAAGATTTCCCAGGACGGCCATTTCTTCTTTTGTACAAGGTGGCCCAAAACATTTTTGAGTGACCGTTACCTGGGCGAGTCAATCCGGATAGACGATCGAAACACGCAAGTACGGAGAGAGTGATTCGAAACGCACCTCGTCTACAAAGCTCTCTTCGTTATCTCGTCAAGAATGAAGACCTTCTCCGTGGTAAATGTGGATTGAGCGCAGCGAAAGCTCAATGCCATGAGCATTCGCTGCGAGGCAGACGCGTTCCACCTTCTCGAGCTCCAACCCCGTCCGCCGGCCTCCTCAGCACGTACCATGCCCCTGAACACCGTGTTGTACGAGTACATGCCCGGGACAACGTCGCTGCCTTTCTTTCCTTCTATCATCTCTACCATCGCCTGCTCCATTCTCCCGGTCTCTACAGTTGCACAGCCCGGAAGTCTGTTGTAAAAGACTTGAGCGACCACTCGTCCCTTGTGGGCTTTCCCGTTCTTGCGGACCGACGAGCATGAAGTTGGCCGGGGCGAGCATCTTGGATGGAGGAGGAAGGCGAGGCCGCGTCCTGGAAATTCATTTGAAGACGCGGGAGGCCATGCCGCTCCTCCGCTGTGAATGATCCCGTGCTGCCACCAGTGCGAATAAAAAACGATGTTCTCTCCTCCGCCGGTCGAGCGAGGGCGTACATTTGCAGGTGGACCTTGTGATCCGCGAACAGCCCTGGCGACAAGAGGGATCTCCAAGAGAGAGGAACGCCGGAGGAGATGCTCGGCGCACGGTGCCACTGGAGGTGGATGAAGCTCTCGCAAGATCCTCCACCGCGGGAAATAGACCTAGGGCTTCAGGGCTTTTGAAATTCACTCTAAAATTCCCGCGCGATCAAACCTTCTTGTCCCGTGACGCCAAATCTTCGATCTTTTATAAACCGTATCAACTATAGCTATGACAATCGCCTCAGCTTCCGAACGCTTCAATTCTTTTCGATCAGCCACGTCTCTTCCTCTACGCACTTGTTGCATCTTCACCACCGTTTTCTCTCCGGGAGAGAACTCGCACCCACATCTCTGCCGCAATCACAATGCGCTAAGTCCCGCAGAAGCGAGGTGAAAATCTCAAAACAGGTACCTCTCGAGGTCGGGCTTCAGGCCTTCCGGTTCATGGCACAGTCCCTTGGAGCGAATTTGAGCTCCGTCCATGGCCCCTCCTGGAGAATGATTGATAGCTTACCTCGACCAAAGGAGCTACAGAGCTCTCTTGGTTATCTCCCACTTGTGAAGAAAGACCTCCTTCCTGGCCTTCCTCCGTGGTAAATGTGGATTCAGCGGCTGCGGCGCGTCCTTCTGCTGAAGCTCAATGCCGTGAGCACTTGCTTCCAGGCAGACGCGTTCCACCTTCTCCGTTTCCTGAACCAGCTCCAGCCCGTCCGCCATAGCTTTGTATATGTGCGGCTTGGCCACGAGCTTGGACTCCACCATCCGGAGGAAATACTCGTACGCCTCCAGGAACTTGCTCTGCCGGCACAGCCAGTAGATGATCGTGCTGTACGCGTACGAGTCCGGCTTGCACTTGGCCGTCCTACTCCCCATCGCGTCATTGAACAGCTTCGTCGCTCGCTCGATCTGTCCGCCCTTGCAGAGAGCACCGATCACTCTCGTGTACGTAACCACATTCGGCTCCCTCCCGGTGCTCGACATCCGCTTCAGGATCTCCAGCGCGTCCTCGACTTTGTTGGCGTCGCACAGCCCCCCGATCAGCGCGGTGTACGTGTAAACATTCGGCTCCACTCCCCGGCGAAGCATGTCCACGAAGTAATCGTTGGCTTTGTCGATGCGGAGAGCTCTGGCGTGCCCGGTTATGAGCACGGTGTAAGTCACAGCCGTCGGCTCGCAGTTCCTCTCCACCATGTACTCAAACATGGCGTTGGCCTCGTCCAGCTTCCCGGTCAGGCACAGCCCGTCGAGCAGCGTGTTGAAAGTTACCACATTCGGGCTGCATCCACTCTTGATCATCCTCCGCAGCACGTACCGCGCGGTAGGCAGCTGCCTGGCCTTGCAAAACCCGCTGATCACCGTGTTGTACGAGTACATGTCCGGGACAACGTCGCTGCCTTTCTTCCCTTCGATCATCTCTTCCAGCAAAGTCATCGCTTGCTCCATCCTGCCGGCTCTGCAGTACCCATACAGCAGCCCGTTGTACGTGAGCAGCGATGGAACCACGGCATTCTCCTCCATCTCTCCGAACACCGCCAGCGCACGGTCGATCTGGTCCGCCTTGCACAGCCCGTAAGTCAGCATGTTGTAGGAGATCCTGTCCAGCGAGCACTCGTCGCTGAGCCGCTTGTAGAGCTCGTAGGCCGCGTCAACTTTCCCGTTCTTGCAGAGGCAGCTGACGAGCATGTTGACGATGAAGGTGGTCGGGGTGAGCATCTTGGATTCCATGTCCTGGAGGAGCTCCAGCGCCGCGTCGGTCTTGGCATCGTCGCAGAGGCCGCGGAGAACGATCCCATAAGTGTAGATGTTTGGGAGGCACTCCTTGTAGAGCATGTCGTCGAAGATCTTGCGCGCCTTGGAGCCATGGCCGCCCTTGACGAGAGCGTTGAGATAGGCGTTGTAGGTGAAGACCGTGTGCTCGAAATCCTCCTGGCGAGCTGCCCATTTGAAGACGCGGGAGGCGAGCTTGGGAGATTTGATGTTCTCCAGGACGTGGATCACGTCGTCCTCGGTGGCCATGCCGCTCCACGGCTGCAAGTACTCGGCCTTGCTCGCCCAGTCGTGGTCCTCGTCGCTGGCGATCAGGAGGACGTTGCGAGCGACGAGCGAGAGGGATTTGGAGCTCTCGGAGCTCTCGGCGGCGGCGAGGCTGGATTCCGCCGCTGCTGCGGGGAGATCCAGCGACGAACCCGCCGCAGAGGGATTCACAACAGCGAGATCGCTCCTTGCGCTCGTAATATTCCTGTTGCTACCCCTGGGTGGACGATCCTCCGCCTCCTCATCCGAGGAGCTATCCGAGGAGGCATCCCTGACCGCTGGAGCCCTCGCGGCGTGAATGTGCTGCTGGAGGAGGGACAATCGCCGCTGCCGCGCGAGCAGCACTCTCGGGAAATACCGATTCATCGCGAGCGATCATCCGCCGATTCCTGCCGCATTTCCCTGGATCAATCGAGAGAGAAGAAAAGCAAACCTGCTCGGCTCCATCGCCAAGAAGAAAGCTTAGGCACCTCGCGATCAGTGCGCGCAATGCCTCATCGTCCATCGCATTCCTCGGCCTCTCGACATCTTCCGCTTCTGCCGCCTGGAAAGAACCCGGCCGCTCTTGCCAGTTCCTCAATGGCGCCCTCTCGATCAAGAGCAATCCTTACGAGATCCTCCCGCCCCAGCTTCCTGTCCTTGCCCCTCAATTTCTCGTTATAAGCCGTGCCCTTCTCGATCAGCCGCGCCTCCCTCGCGAACCGGATCATGAACCCTAATCGACGAAGGGCTTAGGGTTTAAAGATCCAACGGTTTATAGGAAATGGGCATCACCGGCCGTTGGATAAGGCTCGATAAACTGTGTTCGTTAAAGGGGGCTTTGTCTGTTCCTCCTCCCCAGGAACGATACAATGGCGGCGCCAAGCGGCGAATTTCGGAGCAAGATCGCCAGGGTCGATCGATCGGAACAGGTATTGGCGAAATTCTCCGCGCTGCCGTTGGCGCCACGCTTTCTTGGTAGTTCAACCTAAAAGAAAGATCCGCTTGAGCTCTTGGCATGATCCAGCGGAAATGGTGAGCAGCGGCAGGGCGCGCCCCAATCTCCAGCATCTGCTGCTCGCCTTCTTGATTCTCATCTCCGTGGTGGGGATCTTGCTCAGCAGCTCGGGCTTCGCCAGATTCGACACCACCCCCGGCGGCGGGCGAGCCTTAGGTCCCATCATCGTCCTCAAGGAGGCGCTCGTCCAGGAGGGCGTAGAGATCCAGGAGCCGGCCATTGTCCGTGAGCCCACCAATTCCTCCCTTTGGGCCCAGGGAAGAAACGCGCTGCCGCCTCGCAACAGGGAACTCTTCCCAGCGCTCGCCAGGGATCACATCATCGTCGTGCTCTACGTCCACAACCGGCCACAGTACCTCCGGGTGGTGATCGAGGGCCTCTCGCGCGTGGACGGGATCAACGAGACACTCCTCATCGTCAGCCACGATGGGTTCTATCCCGAGATGGCGGAGCTCGTCGAGAAGATCGACTTCTGCCAGGTAAAGCAGCTTTTCGCGGCCTACTCGCCACACCTCTTCCCCTCGTCCTTCCCGGGGACCTCTCCCGGCGATTGCAAGAACAAGGACGATCCAGTGGCCAAGAAGTGCGAGGGGCAGGCGGATCAGTATGGAAACCACCGCAGCCCGAGGATCGTCTCGCTCAAGCACCACTGGTGGTGGATGATGAACACCATCTGGGACGGGCTTCCGGAGACTCGGGGTTACAACAGGCACATAGTTTTCATAGAGGAGGATCACTACTTATTCCCAAACGCGTACCGGAACATCCAGACGCTGGCCAGGATCACCAGCGAGAGGTGCCCGGATTGCTGGGCCGTGAACTTGGCCCCCTGGGACGTCAAGAACCGGGGCGAGCGGGGGGACTTTCTCGTCGCCGAGAAGATCGGAAACATGGGATATGGATTCAACCGGACGATGTGGAACAAGCTCCACTCGAGCGCCGCCACCTTCTGCCACTTCGACGATTACAACTGGGACATCACGCTGTGGTCGTCGGTGTATCCGTCCTGGGACGAGAAGGCTTACACTCTCCGGGGGCCGAGGACGAGCGCGCTACACTTCGGGCGGTGTGGCTTACACCAGGGGCACCAGGATGGCAAACCCGAGTGCCAGGATTTCACGCAGGAGGGGCCGCAAGTGGATCCGGAGGACCGGATCATGAACATCGATCCGAGCTGGGAGGTCTCGCGGCATGTTTATAACTATCCCCACAAGTTCACCGGGTGGGGGGGATGGGGAGATCGCAGGGATCAGAAGCTGTGCATGGAGTTTGCGTCCATGTACCGCCATCGCCATCGCCTCTAGGAAGAAGAAGACGAAGATATAGAAACGAAGGAAAGGAATTCCATTCCATACGCTAGCTAGAAAAGAGAACGTTTGAGAGAGAGGGGTTCATACAGGGAGTGAAGTTTCGATGGAAAACTTCTTCCAACACGCCAAAGATTTTCAATGCGGGAGAAAAGAACGAGAACTTCCATTCAAAGTCAAGTCATTTGAAAGACCTCTCCACGCTAACTCTCGCTTTCGCAAAAACTTAGAACAATGCCAGATTCATGAGGGTGTCGCTATTGCGGCTGGCGAGAGAGGATCAAACGCGAATTTTGGGCGACCAACAAGAGGTTTTAGCGCTCGCCCGGATCGTCCGAGCGTGTGGGAGCTTGCGCGACCTCGCCAGGGGCCGGCAAATCCACGCGGATATTCTCGCCAGCGACCAACTCTCCACGGACAGATTCCTGGCCAATGCGCTGCTCGAAATGTATGGGAAGTGCGGCAGCGTTGGCGAGGCGCAAAGAGTCTTTGATGCCATACACTCGCCCAATACATACTCGTGGAATATCCTCATCGCGGCATATGCCCACAATGGGCATATTCACCATGCCCGGGCCAACCTCGAGAAGATGCCGCGGCCGGACGTTGTGTCGTACACGGCGGTGTTGGCTGCGTACGGAGAGCACGGCCTTGTCAAAGAAGCGATGGAGATTTTCTGGAAGATTAGAAAGCCCGATGTTGTGGCCTGGAACGCGATGATTCGCGTGAATGCCGCGAATGGGCATTTGCTGCAAGCCAAAGAGATCTATGATCGGATGGAGAAGCGAGATGGCTTGAGCTGGAACAGCATCCTCACTGCCTACGCGCAGCTGGGATTCGTCGAGGAGGCGTCCGCGATCTTCCAGTTGATGCCGATGCGCGATGCTGTGGCCTGGAACATTGCAATCCAGGCGCTCGCACAACAAGGGCTCCTGGACGAGCTCCTGGAGACGTTCACCGCGATGCCGGAGAGGGACGTCTTCTCCTGGAACGCGGCGCTTGGGGGATTCGGGCAGCACGGCCAGATCGAGGCGGCGATGGAGGTGAAGAACAGGATGCCACAGTGGGACGTGGTGTCTGCGACGGCGGCGGTGGTGGCCTATGGCCGGATCGGCGAGATCGAGCTAGCCAGCGCGGAATTCCTGGGAATGCCCGAGCGAAACTCCATCAGCTGGAACTCCATGATCCTGGCGTGCGCCCAGAGCAATCGCTTCGATCTGGCCAAGGAATTCCTTGACAGAATGCCGCTGACAAGCGTGATCGCGATCACGTCCCTGATCCAAGCCCTAGCGCAGGCATCGCTCGTGGAAGAAGCGCGCAAGCTCCACGACGCAATGTCCCACAGGGATTCCCTCTCGTGGACGGCCATGGTCACGGGATATGCGCAGGCCGGGCATCTGGAGCGGGCGTGGAATATGCTCCACGCCATGCCCGCCTGGGACGGGGCATCCTGGACAGCTCTTCTCCAGGCAAATGCCCAGCGCGGGCATCTGGAGGAATCTCTCGCGGTGTTCGAGAATATGCCGCAAAGGAGCGCCATTGCCTGGAACGCGCTGCTGGGAATCTTGGCCGTGGAGAGGGGCCTCACGGACGGAGCAAACGCCCTGTTTGGGAGATTCCCTCACTGGGACGTGGTATCTTGGAACATTCTCTTGCTGGGGCTGATCCACGCCGGGCGGGCAGCGGAGGCGTTGCGCGCGTTCGATTCCCTGCCCCAAATCCACAAGAATGTGGTATCCTGGACAACCCTGATCGCCGCCCACGCGCAGCTCTCCCTCCGCCAGGCCAGGGCCGCCTTCCACAAGATGCCGCAGTGGGACACCGTCGCCTGGAACGCGATGATCGCCGCCGAGGGATCCGTGGGCAATGCCCTAGAGGCGCGGAGGATCCACGACGAGGCGCCCGAGAGGAACGCCATCTCCTGGAACGCGATGATCACCGCCTACTTCCTCGCGGATCGCCTCCACGACGCCAGGCTCGCGTTTGATCGGATGCCGGCGTGGAGCGCGGCATCCCGCAACGCCATCGCAGCGGCATATTCCGCCGCGGGGCGGCTGCCGCAGGTTGAGGAGCTCGTCGCCGCGGCGACGTGCAGTGGCGACGCGGTGCCGTGGAATATCCTCCTGGCGGGATATGCCCACCACGGGCATGGGAATATCCTCGGGCACTGCTTTGGCGCCATGGTGCTTGAGGGGGCGATGCCGGATGGCATCACATTCCTGGCGCTGCTGGTGGGCTACTGCCACGCTGGCATGTGGAGTGACACGTGGCATGCGTTCCATTGGATGGTCGGAAGTTTCGGTCTTGTTCCGGAGCTATGTCATTACAACGCTGTGGTTGAGATGCTGGCCAGGTCCAAACGCCTTAAGAGGGCGGAGGAGCTTTTACATAGCATGCCATTTCTCCCGGATGTGGCATCGTGGATGGTTTTGCTAGGAGCTTCCAAGCTTTTTGGAGACAAAGAACGAGCCAAGAGGGCTAGCTTGGAAATTCTCAACTTGCAAGCTTATAAACATCCTAGTACTTAGCAAAATCTGGTAAATATTCAATGACATTGACTAGAGAAGATTTGTATTTCACCTATGAAGTTCTATTCTTGGTAGACACAACAGAGCAACCATGTCACACCCAAGCGGCCAAACCTTCCTGCCCGCGGTAGCAAACCACTAACTCAGCAAGCTCCCTCCTTTTCATTTGGCATTTTGCGGCTACACGCCCAAAATCGTAGCTATAGCGACACCAACAGAGGCGGTGGGAGAAAATCAATGCGCAAACACTAATCTGCCTTGCATTTTCGCATTCATTAATAAAATAAAGTGCAAGAAAATATCCTTATATATTTAAATGAAATTTATGGAGCTACCGCTGACATATATCCATGACGCTTTGAAACCCAAGGTGGTTTATGGGGATAAGCCTTGTGAGGTTAGCATGGATTCCCTGTGGTCTTATGCCTCCATCTGGGCACCCATGACCACCCAAAAACATGTAATAATTGTGGATGTGGCTCGAGAAAAGTCATCCCAAATTCTGTTAATTGCTTACAGTCTTTCTTTTCCTTTATTCTTGTCACAGTCCAGGCTTTCTTAACAAGAGGTGTCTATAGTTTAAAACTATCTTGCTCATGGAGCTCACCGGCCTAAGAGGTATTTAGCCATGAGCCATGAGTTTGTGCATTGACATGTTCTTTTGTCTTCCTACAAAGGTGAGAGGAAAGTTGTGGTGATTGACAGGTATCTCCACTTTACGATCAATCTGAACTCTCAACCACTCTTTTCAGGTTTTCACCCCCTGGACAAGCTAGTACAACTGTGGAATAAATGTAACTTCCTTCTGGTTATCAACAATCTCCAGATAGCCTTTAAAATTGGAGTGAACTTGCAAGCCTACAGAACTTCAGTCTATGGTGAAAATGGAGGTGGAGTGGCTGAATCTTATAACATCAAAAGAAAATTTGATGTTTATGTTGGCAGAAAAGGTTGTGCATGCCGGTGTGATATTGAACAAGTAGGTGTCCCAGGGAGTTGTAGATAGAGGGGCCAAGCTCTCTCACTGTATTGACGTTTGAGACCAAGAACTGTGACTTTCTAAGTTCTCTTGTTGCAAAGTTCTAAAGGCTTTGTTTACAACTTTTTTCGTTATGTAGGGAACTGCCAATCAGGCCACCAGTTGTTCCTCCAAAATTCTTCCAGGTAACAGTTTCTTGCATCTAGGACTCACTGCTTGATTCTTATGCCCAGGCTTAGAATCACTTTGTGTGCCTCGCATGTACAGGCTCTATACGAAACTCTTGCTCCATGGAGCCATGTTACATTTTTCTCTGGTAACTCAAAGAATCACCTGCGTACTAACTCTTGTCTGTCACGTGTATAGACAAGAGTGGGTTTGCTTCCAACGCACATCCAACCGAACTGAAGGAACAAGTCTTCAAGTCAATTGATATGGAGGATTGTGTCCACCATTGTTCTTCTCCACACGCTATCATACTCGATGACAGCGCCATAATGAGGTCTGGAGAAGATCTCACCAACGTTGGCAATCAATCAACGAATCCAGTGATTGAAATACTCACCCAAACTGAACATGGCCAGAGCATTTGAGTTGGAGCTGATGAGTTGCAGTCAACCAATTTTGGTGGCGTGAATGGAACCTTGCAAGGGAAATTTGATTCACTCTTCTGATTCTCTGTAGTGTCTTCATTACAATTGCAAATTCGAGTTTAGATAACTTCTGGTCCTGTTACCATGTAACATTATACATGTACATATGTCCATGAACCTTTCTGAAAATTATTTATGAAATAAGACTGATGAAACATCTAGAGCTTCTACTGCCACAAGAACTCCAAATTTCAACAACACCAGAGTAGTTACTAACAACCATGAACAGCTAACTATAAAACCCTAATAAACAAACTGTAACCTCACGCTCTAATTCATTCATTCATATTTTGTTCATGGTGCCCACCAAGAAACATGAGACCGAGGAATTTAAATAAGCTGCTCAGATGATTGTCTCTGCGGTTTGGGTCTTCTGCTGTCTTCTGGGTCTCTTGCGGCCTGTGTTTTGCTATTGCCTTTTGCCTTTTGACTAATGGTTGAACCACTCTAGTTATCTATGAAATCATGTCATTGTTGGTGTTATTGACACATGTAGTTTTGTGTTTTCTTTCTTAAAGTATATGATTAACCATCTTGATACACCTAAGATATCTTTATAAAAGATTTTGTGGTTACTGTTGCTCCTTTTACTCTGTAAAATCTGTAATAAATTTGTGTTTTTTGCACAATTTTTATATCTTTGAATGGTTTACTTTATGCCATTAACTGTGATGTTTTACTCCAAAGGTCCTCATACGCCCCTGGAATTCCACCAGGGCATTCTTGTACTCCTCTTCTCCAAAATCCGGCCATAGCTTCTTCTCAAACACGAGCTCCGAGTATGCGAGATGCCACAGCATGAAATTGCTCAGCCGCTGCTCGCCGCTGGTGCGAACGAGCAGCTCCGGCGCGCCAACATCCTCGCACCGCTCGCCTAGCATCAATCTCTTTGCCAGGTTGATCTGGTCAATCTCCTCCACAGCCATTTTCCCCTGCTCCACCTCGCGCGCCAGCGCCTGGCACGTCTGGACCAGATCGCTGTGCCCGCCGTAGCCAATCGCCATGACGAGTTTCATGCCCGTGTTGCCGCTGGTGATGGATTGGGCATCCGAGATCTTGGCCTGGAGCGGGCGCGGGAGCCTGGCAGTGTCACCAATGCAGTGGAATTGGATCCCATCCCTGACCAAAAATCATCACTCAGTCAATCCATTTCCATTCGCTGAAAACCATATCGAGAAATTCCACGCACAGCAAAATGGTGGCAGGATCATCGAGGCTGAGAACTCTGTCAAGTTGCTGCATCCACTGATCCACTTCTTCCCTGGGCCGCAAGAAATTCTCGGTGGAGAAGGCAAAGAGCGTGAGCGCTTTGATCCCCCAGTCGCTGGACAACCTCACGATCTCCCGGGCGTTGGAATAGCACGCCTCCGCCGCTGCTCGCAGCTGGCGCTCCTTGGCGATCCCTCGCACCTGCGCCCACCGCGAATTCCCGTCCATGATCATTGCAACGTGGTTCGGGAGCCGCAAAGGATCCACCTCCGCAGGCAAACGCATCGTCGCCGCGCCGAGGCGGGAAGCGCAAGGAGCGGCAATGCTGGCGGTGATGGCCATGAAACAAGAATTTAGATTCGAGAAAGAGAATGTGATTCGATCCCAGAGGAAGAGGGCCATATAAATACGCTGTATACCTCTTGTATTTCTATTTACATGGTCTCACTCCCGCCAAAAAAGTTCATCCCCAGGCTTTTTGTGCCCATTGTACAAAGACCTGTACACATGATAAACAATTAACAAGAAAACAGAACTAACCTTCCTCATCATGAAAGTGCCTGCCAACTGGGGTGCAATTTAAGGGTTATCCAGCAGCCACATCAGTAGATATTTAAAGTATATTCTATTTAGTTAGGCTATACACAACTATATCATAGTGTCTTTTTAGTTTGCTTAAACAAAACCTGTTAGTAGTGAATATATTTAAAATATATTTGGATATTTTAGAATATTTTACTATATAACGGTTGTTATTCATTTAAATTAATCTTATAATTTATAAACATGTTTATAATTTATAAACTTTCCTAAACACTTCCTAGTATATTCTTTTTATTGTACCATCTAATGGTTAATATGCAATAAGATTAATCTTGATTTATAAATTATAAACGTATTTATAATTATTGATCAATTTAATTACTCAATGACACTACTATTGAGCAAACCAAGCATTGTTGCATGTAATGCACAGCAAATTATTACAATACCTTTTGTATTTTAACTTGTCAACCTATACTGCCATGTGTTGTTTAAAAGTTAGCCTATTAATTCTTTATTGTAGACTTCTGAGCTATTTCTTAGGCTCCAGGCTAAATGATAGCCTACTTGTCTTATTTTTATAGATCCACTGTCTTGTAGCTATTTTATATTTACTTGTTTGACTGTTTATGCATTGGTGAATTTGAAACTTTATTTGATTTGGACTTTATGTATACCTTAGTATATAAAGAGGGCTTAATTGTTAATGGCCACAGACTTTTGCCTAGTAGTGTATATATCAAAAGTCTTGTATAATTTCTATGGCAATGTCAAGTTGGACTCCTCCTTCTAGTCCTGAATGGCCTTTTGCTCCATCTACTAGGGCTTCTAATGTTTTCATCTGGGGATCTACTTCTTCCAAAGATGAGGAACCAAATGCTTCTTCCAAAGATCAAAAACCAAACGCTTCATCAAAACTTTCTTCACAAATGCATGGTGATGAGCACTAAAAAGTGGAGTTATATCCTTATAAAACAAGTGAGGAATACTTGTTCTAGTGCCTAGACTCACCCTATCATGCTAAAGATTGCCCATTTCATCAACTTGGTGCACAAATGAATTTAGAGTAAGAACCATCTATTGAAGAGACTGCCCATCATTAACATTTCATCTGATTCTGAATGTGAAGAGGTTGTGACACCACCATATGGTCTTCATCCCAAGAAAAACCATCTAGATGAAGGTGGAGTAAAGTTTCCTAGCGAGTCTGACATGGACTAGAATTTCCTTTCAAATAGCAAGTGTGTGCTTGAATATGTTTTAATAGCATATATAGGCTTCTATTTGGGGTTAAATAGTTCTTTATCTATACTATAATGTTATTATTAATTAATTTTTTATGCTAATAGTTCTTAGGGTTTTTTTATGTAAAGTAACTTTGTCAATTCTTGCTTTTTATTTTGGTACTGATAGTTAAATTGGATTAAGCTACTTTACTTATCTAAAACTTAATAGTAATACAATATTACATAATAATTGTGAACTTTAGTGTATATCTAGTTAGAGTCCTCCAACAAGTCTATAATTATTTCGTTGACATCAATTCCATGACTCGTTTTAGGTTGTTTTAATTTTCCTACTGCTGTTGATGGTGATGTATCCTTAAGCTTAATTTTTTTTTATATAAGCAACTACATCCGAGTTCTCCTCCATCACCATCACTTGTCTCTTATCATTTTGATATGCTTGGAGGGAGTTCCTTGTGCCTGCAAAAAGGTTTACAATCGTGTCAGCAGTTGGTGTCATAGAATGCATTATGAAATCCAGAAAGTTCACATAGATCTCAGACCTTCTTATCATGTTTGAGTCATCATCATATAATGGCTTGATGTCTTCTTCTTCAAACTCGAAGTGCTCATTATGAAGGTCCTATTGTTGTTGCCATGAGCATTGGAGTGGTTTCCTTTGGTTTCACTAGGGACATTCAAAGTGTCAATTTCTGTATAGTAATACAGTTAATTAGAAAGATAATTATTTGTGATTAATTACCTTTATTTTACCCAGCTAGTTAAGTTTAAAGCCAAATGGGTAAACACTAAATATGGTGTATGTTCTCTCGATCATCATCACCCACCGTTGAATCTCCCTAAACATGGATGTTAACCATTCCTCCATATAGAAAACTGCAATCCAACCATCATCTACCACCATTTCCTGGGAAAATCCCAAAATATGATGGATGATGTTTTCGTTACAAACTTGTCATCTTTCAACCTTGCCTTTATCATTTCTATAGTTGTGGGGTAGGATAGTTAGTATGAGATGATGTCATGAATGTGACTTTAGGTATCGAAAGTTATTTGTCGGCTAATCCTTTCGAATATTCTTTCTTTACTACTATGATACTAAAAGGTCGGCATTGCTACACTCATTATCAATTCCCACTTGAACTAGTTGAGAAACTAGTCAATGACCATGCACTTAAATTAGATAAACATAAAGTAAGAACCCTATGTGTTTCTTGCTGAGCATACTCAACTTAGTTTGAGAAACATATATTATTGACTTGCACTTGCTAGTATCAAAAACCTTTGCGATATTGATATTGGTCCCTTAATATTCACTAAATGATAGTTTACCGTGTCTGCCAAACACCCTCGCTATTATACCCTTTATATTAGTTTCATTCTGGTCCTAAATGCTATTTATAAAAAGTGTTTAGATTTGCTCATTTGGCATATTTACCATGTAGAGATTGTCCTGAACACAATGGTGTTCGTCCCATGTCAAGTTTCAAATTTGTCCTAGAGATTAACTTTTGATACTAAGGAAGGAGGAAGTTGGTTGAGTCTTAAAAGTTTGCATTCCTAGACTAAGAGTCATTTTTTTTCTAAGATGGAAAATTTTCCACAAATTTTCTTAAGCTTTTTCAATGGCTAATCTGTCAATCACTTTATTTAAAAACCATTCTGTTTTCATAAGTCAGTACAAATTAGTGAAGGGGTTAAAATTGACTTCAGTTGGCTTAAACATTAGTAGGTAGTTTGTATGATGTAACCCAAAAGGGATGCTAATCTTTGGGGTTAAAGCAATTGAGTTGGATAGAGTCTAGAGTTGGTGTACAAAAGTGGATATTACACTTTTTAGAAAGGTGACCTTTATGCTTTTCTTTTGTAATATTATGCTAAGTGGTAGATTGCACCTTGCATTTTGTTATACTCTATAAAAATAATGAACTCTCATTGATCTTGACTTGGTCTTGGTGGCTCTGTGCTTTGGCTGATGATGGTAATGTCTAATTTAGTTGTTTGAGGTTGAGATGTTGATACCCATACTATTGCTTTGTTTATGAAGAGGTTGTGTACCAATATGAGTCCATCTCATAGTCTTCACTTTAGTTTTAGCTAAATATTAATCATGCATAGCTAGCCTTTTCAAGGTCTACTCAGCGTTGTTAGCTAAATGCATTAGTAAGCTTATTGTAGTTGAGTTGAATTCAAGTGGTCATTTAGTTCATGGTTATCTATGAGCTAATATCTTGTACTTAGGGTATTACATTCATATTGGACAAGCATATGACTTGATGATGTGAGTTTAATATTTGGGTATTATGAAGACAAGTTGAAGAGTGATTGTTAGTTGCTCTGCGATTAGTGATTACTTGTAAACTTTGTTTAGGATTGTTTGACACTTGCTTTATTTGATGATGATTTAGTAGTGATGGGCTTACTTTACCAGATGGTGTTGCGAATGATCATATCGTTAGACTTATATGGTTTTTCCATAATAGCATATTGATTCTACTTTTGATAATGTCATTTAGTTACGTTTAGTCTGTGGTGTTGGATTTCATTGAATCTTGGATGTGATGATTCACTCCTTGATAATGTGTTATCTATAACTGAGTATTGTTAGAGAATTGGTCTCAGATATTGAGTAAGGTATTTTTGACTTTGGTTAACTTAGTTTTTGGAGAGTTTTGAGTGGTGATTCACTCTTGTTTTCTTCTAACTTTGTTTTAATGTTGATGGTATTGAACTAATCCCTTATCATTAACATTGTTGATATTGAGATTCAATTGAGATGAGATGTCTTTCCGTATGATTGATATTACGTTTCATTAGTCTTGATGAATATAGTGTTAATGTTTGGGTTATAACTTTATATTATTGGCATTTGTGCATTTACTAATTAATAAATATATTAGTGTTCAAACGAGGTAAGTAGCAAGTTGAGTTAGTTGTGTTCTAGATAAAATTGTTTAATAAGGGTTGAATTTTGAGCTTTTCTTTGAAAAATGATTCAATCATAGATTTTATTAGTTTTAAGAGAGAAGAGTTAATGATTAATATTAAAATATTTAAATCTTTGTTAGATTTAAGTTGAAATATATTGATTGGTGATGATTTTTCTTATGCTTATTATGCAGTGAGTTATGTCTGGCTATAGATAGATTTATAGAGGATCAATTAAATGATCACTTGTTGAGCATCACTTTGTTATGATTAATTTTTGGATTGATGTAAAAATGCTCTTCATTAGCTTCGCATTATGAAGTTTAGCTTATAGATGTGTTAAGGATGATATTAATGGTTATACTATGATTTCTTCTTTAGCATTGAAATTAGTTTATGCGAGACTCATGATTATTGTTAAGCAAGACTTAGCTATAAGCTTCTTTGAGCTTTTAATTGCTTGAGTTTTCATGCTTGTGATTTATTTGTTTGAAATTGTTAAAAAAAAGGCATTTTGGCTATTAACTTCAATATAAGGTGATATCAGACAAGTAGGTGTCCCAAGGAGTTGTAAATAGAGGGGCTGAGTGTCTCACTATATTGATATTTGAGACCAAGAGCTATGACTTTCTAATTCCTCTTGTTGCAAAGTTCTAAAGACAACTTTTTTTGTTATGTAGAGAACTGCCAATCAGGCCACCAATTGTTCCTCCAAAATTCTTCCAGGCAATAGTTTCTCGCATTTAGGACTTACTGCTTGATTCTTATGCCCAGGCTTAGAATCACTTTGTGTGCCTCGCATGTACAGAGAAACTCTTGCTCCATAGAGCCATATTACATTTTTCTCTGGTAACTCAAAGAATCACATGCGTACTAACTCTTGTCTGTAAAGGGTAGCTTTGCTTCCAACGCACATCCAATTGAACTGGAGGAGCAAGTCTTCATGTCAATTGATATGGAGGATTGTGTCCACCATTGTTCTTCTCGAATTGAAAGTTCTTACATCCATGGTGGTTCCGATGCTATTATACTCGATTGCAGTGCCATAATGACGTCTAGAGAAGATAAGTCTCACCGACGTTGGCAATCAATCAACGAATCTGGTGATTGAAGTACTCACCCAAAATGAACATGACCAGAGCATTTGAGTTGGAGCTGATGAGTTGCTGTCCACCAGTTTTGGTGGAGTGAATGGAACCTTGCAAGGGAAATTTGATTCACTCTTCTGATTCTGTCTTCATTATAATTGCAAATTCGAGTTTAGGTATTTACCAGGATCTCAATCAGAAGGTCCAATTAATATTGTCACCATGTAACATTATACATGTATATATGTCCATATATTTATGCTTCTACTGCCACAAGAACTCTAAATTTCAACAACACTAGAGTAGTTACTAACAACCATGGACAGCTAACTGTAAAACCCTGATAAACAAACTGTAACCTCACACATGTTGGTAAATGCTCTAAACAAGTAAAGATATTCATTCATTCATTCTTATTTTGTTTACATAATCTCATGGTGCCCACCAAGAAACATGAGACCAAGGAATCTTCTACTATCTCCATCTCTAGTGTGCTTAGTGTCACCCACTCCTGGGGTGTGGGTCTCTTGCGGCACTATTGCCTTTTGCCTATTGACTAATGGTTGATGTATGCATCATGTCCATATTCCACTCTAGTTATCTATGAAATCCCCAGTGTTAGTGTTATTGACACATGTAGTTTTGTGCTTTCTTTCTTAAAGTATATGACTAACCATCTTGATACACCTAAGATATCTTTATAAAAGATTTTGTGATTACTATTGCTCCTTTTACTCCTTTTATTGTCCAACAGTTTTTCTATCTTACTTTATGCCATTAACTCTAGTGTCTTACTCCGAAGGTCCTCATACGCCCCTGGAATTCCACCAGGGCATCTTCTCAAACACGAGCTCCGAGTATGCGAGATGCCACAGCATGAAATTGCTCAGCCGCTGCTTGCCGCTGGTGCGAACGAGCAGCTCCGGCGCGCCAACATCCTCGCACCGCTCGCCCAGCATCAATCTCTTTGCCAGGTTGATCTGGTCAATCTCCTCCACAGCCAGTTTCGCCTGCTCCACCTCGCGCGCCAGCGCCTGGCACGCCTGGACCAGATCGTTGTGCCCGCTGTAGCCAATCGCCATGACGAGTTTCATGCCCGTGTTGCCGCTGGTGATGGATTGGGCATCCGAGATCTTGGCCTGGAGCGGGCGCGGGAGCCTGGCAGTGTCACCAATGCAGCGGAATTGGATCCCATCCCTGACCAAAAATCATCACTCAGTCAATCCATTTCCATTCGCTGAAAACCATATCGAGAAATTCTACGCACAGCAAAATGGTGGCAGGATCATCGAGGCTGAGAACTCTGTCAAGTTGCTGCATCCACTGATCCACTTCTTCCCTGGGCCGCAAGAAATTCTCGGTGGAGAAGGCAAAGAGCGTGAGCGCTTTGATCCCCCAGTCGCTGGACAATCTCCCGGGCGTTGGAATAGCACGCCTCCGCCGCTGCTCGCAGCTGGCGCTCCTTGGCGATCCCTCGCACCTGCGCCCACCGCGAATTCCCGTCCATGATCATCGCACCGTGGTTCGGGAGCCGCAAAGGATCCACCTCCGCAGGCAAACGCATCGTCGCCGCGCCGAGGCGGGAAGGGCAAGGAGCGGCAATGCTGGCGGTGATGGCCATGAAACAAGAAGTTAGATTCGAGAAAGAGAATGTGATTCGATCCCAGAGGAAGAGGGCCATATAAATACGCTGTATACCTCTTGTATTTCTATTTACATGGTCTCACTCCCGCCAAAAAAGTTCATCCCCAGGCTTTTTGTGCCTACACATGATAAACAATTAATAAGCAAACAGAACTAACCTTCCTCAAGTGCCTGCCAACTGGGGTGCAATTTAAAGGTTATCCAGCAGCCACATCAGTAGATATTTAAAGTATATTCTATTTAGTTAGGCTATACACAACTATATCATAGTGTCTTTTTAGTTAAACCTGTTGGTAGTGAATATATTTAAAATATATTTGGATATTTTAGAATATTTTACTATATAACGGTTGTTATTCATTTAAATTAATCTTATAATTTATAAACATGTTTATAATTTATAAACTTTCCTAAACACTTCCTAGTATATTCTTTTTATTGTACCATCTAATGGTTAACATGCAATAAGATTAATCTTGATTTATAAATTATAAACGTATTTATAATTATTGATCAATTTAATTACTCAATGACACTACTATTAAGCAAACCAAGCATTGTTGCATGTAATGCACAGCAAATTATTACAATACCTTTTGTATTTTAACTTGTCAACCTATACTGCCATGTGTTGTTTAAAAGTTAGCCTATTAATTCTTTATTGTAGACTTCTGAGCTATTTCTTAGGCTCCAGGCTAAATGATAGCCTACTTGTCTTATTTTTATAGATCCACTGTCTTGTAGCTATTTTATATTTACTTGTTTGACTGTTTATGCATTGGTGAATTTGAAACTTTATTTGATTTGGACTTTATGTATACCTTAGTATATAAAGAGGGCTTAATTGTTAATGGCCACAGATTTTTGCCTAGTAGTGTATATATCAAAAGTCTTGTATAATTTCTATGGCAATGTCAAGTTGGACTCCTCCTCCTTCTAGTCCTGAATGGCCTTTTGCTCCATCTACTAGGGCTTCTAATGTTTTCATCTGGGGATCTACTTCTTCCAAAGATGAGGAACCAAATGCTTCTTCCAAAGATCAAAAACCAAACGCTTCATCAAAACTTTCTTCACAAATGCATGGTGATGAGCACTAAAAAGTGGAGTTATATCCTTATAAAACAAGTGAGGAATACTTGTTCTAGTGCCTAGACTCACCCAATCATGCTAAAGATTGCCCATTTCATCAACTTGGTGCACAAATGAATTTAGAGTAAGAACCATCTGTTGAAGAGACTGCCCATCATTAACATTTCATCTGATTCTGAATGTGAAGAGGTTGTGACACCACCATATGGTCTTCATCCCAAGAAAAACCATCTAGCTGAAGGTGGAGTAAAGTTTACTAGCGAGTCTGACATTGGCTAGAATTTCCTTTCAAATAGCAAGTGTGTGCTTGAATATGTTTTAATAGCATATATAGGCTTCTATTTGGGGTCAACTAGTTCTTTATCTATACTATAATGTTATTATTAATTAATTTTTTATGCTAATAGTTCTTAGGTTTTTTTTATGTAAAGTAACTTTGTCAATACTTGGTCTTGATAGTTAAATTGGATTAAGCTACTTTACTTATGTAAAACTTAATAGTAATACAATATTACATAATAATTGTGAACCTTAGTGTATATCTAGTTAGAGTCCTCCAACAAGTCTATAATTATTTCATTGACATCAATTCCATGACTCATTTTAGGCTGTTTTAATTTTCCTACTGCTGTTGATGGTGATGTATCCTTGAGCTTGATTTTTTTTATATAAGCAACTACATCTGAGTTCTCCTCCATCACCATCACTTGTCTCTTATCATTTTGATATGCTTGGAGGGAGTTCCTTGTGCCTGCAAAAAGGTTTACAACCGTGCCAGCATTTGGTGTCATAGAACGCATGATGAAATCCAGAAAGTTCACATAGATCTCAGACCTTCTTATCATGTTTGAGTCATCATCATATAATGGCTTGATGTCTTCTTCTTCAAACTCGAAGTGCTCATTATGAAGGTCCCACTGCTGTTGCCATGAGCATTGGAGTGGTTTCCTTTAGGTTCACTAGGGACATTCAAAGTGTCAATTTCTGCATAGTAATACAGTTAATTAGAAAGATAATTATTTGTGATTAATTACCTTTATTTTACCCAGCCAATTAAGTCTAAAGCCAAATGGGTAAACACTAAATATGGTGTATGTTCTCTCGATTATCATCACCCGCCGTTGAATCTCCCTAAACATGGATGTTGACCATCCATATAGAAGATTGCAATCCAACCATCATCTACCACCATTTCCTAGGAAAATCCCAAAACATGGTGGATGATATCTTTGCTACAAATCTGTCATCTTTCAACCTTGCCTTTATCATTCCTATAGTTGTGGGGTAGGATAGTTAGTATGAGGTGATGTCACGAATGTGACTTAGTTATTTGTCAGCTAATCCTTTTGGATATTCTTTCCTTACTGCTATAATACTAGGAGGTCGGCATTGTTACACGCATTATCAATTCCCACTTGAACTAGTTGAGAAATTGGTCAATGACCATGCATTTAAATTGGATAAACATAAGATAAGAACCTTATGTGTTTCTTGCTGAGCATTGAGAAACATATATTATTGGCTTGCACTTGCTAGTATAAAAAATCTCTGCAATATTGATATTGGTCCTTTAATATTCACTAGATGATAGCTTACCGTGTCTGCCAAACACCCTCGCTATTATACCCTTTATATTAGTTTCATTCCAGTCCTAAATGCTATTTATGGAAAGTGTCTAGATTTGCTCATTTGGCATATTTACCATGTAGAGATTGTCCTGAACACAATGGTGTTCGTCCCATATCCAAATTCTCAATCTAAGGACATTCCATATTTAGTAAGTTTCAAATTTATCCTAGAGATTAACTCTTGATACTAAGGAAGGAGGAAGTTGGTTGAGTCTTAAAAGTTTGCATTTCTAGATTAAGAGTCATTCTTTCTTTAGGATGGAAAATTTTCCACAAATTTTCTTAGGTTTTTTCAATGGCTAATCTGTCAATCACTTTGTTTGAAAACCATTTTATTTTCATAAGCTAGTACAAACTAATGAAGGGGTTAAAATTGACTTCAGTTGGCTTAAACATTAATAGGTAGTTTGTATGATGTAACCCAAAAAGGATGTTAATCTTTGGGGTTAAAGCAATTGAGTTGGATAGAGTCTAAAGTTGGTGTACAAAAGTGGATATTATGCTTTTTCGAAAAGATGACCTTTATGCTTTTCTTTTGTAATATTATGCTAAGTGGCAGGTTGTATCTTGCATTTTGTTATACTCTATAAAAATAATGAACTCTTATTAATCTAGATTTGGTCTTGGTGGCTCTGTGCTTTGGCTGATGATGGTAATGTCTAATTTAGTTGTTTGAGGTTGAGATGTTAGTACCCATACTATTGCTTTGTTTATGAAGAGGTTGTGTACCAACATGAGTCCATCTCGTAGTTTTCACTTTAGTTTTGGCTAAGTATTAATCATGCATAGCTAGCCTTTTCAAGGTTTACTCAGAGTTGTTAGCTAAATGCATTAGTAAGCTTATTGTAGTTGAGTTGAATTCAAGTGGTCATTTAGTTCGTGTTTATCCATGAGCCAATATCTCATACCTAAGGTATTACATTTATATTGGATAAACATATGACTTGATGATGTGAGTTTAATGTTTGGGTCTTATGAAGACAAGTTGAAGAGTGATTGTTAGTTGCTCTACGATTAATGATTACTTGTAAATTTTGTTGAGGATTGTTTGACATTTGCTTTACTTGATAATGATTTAGCAGTGATGGGCTTGCTTTACTAGATGGTTGTAAGCAACCAAAGATTACGACTTGAGAGATGATCCATGGGGTTCAAATATAGAGGGAAAGGGCCCATGAATAAGAGTGCACCCCCTTTTCCAATTGGTTAAGGGTCTTGGGATATTTGGGGTTAAGTGTCCTTGGGTTTGAATAGTATTGGGCTGAGTGACCTCCCGCGAAGTCCAAACTCAGGAGCTTACAATGGTGTTCCGAAGGATTATATTATTAGACTTACATGGTTTTTCCATATTAGCATATTGATTCTACCTTTGACAATGTCATTTGGTTATGTTTAGTCTGTGGTGTTGGATTTCATTGAATCTTGGATGTGGTGATTCACTCCTTGATAATGTGTTATCTATAACTAAGTATTGTTGGAGGATTGGTCTTAGATATTGACTAAGGTATTTTTAACTTTGGTTAACTTAGTTTTTGGAGAGTTTTGAATGGTGATTCACTCTTGCTTTCTTTTAACTTTGTTTTAGAGTTGATGGCATTGAAGTGATGCCTTATCATTGACATTGCTGATATTGAGATTCAATTGAGATGAGATGTCTTTCCGTAGGATTGATATTACGTTTCATTAGTCTTGATGAATATAGTGTTAATGTTTGGGTTGTAACTTTATGTTATTGGCATTTGTGCATTTACTAATTAACAACTACGTTGGTATTCAAACAAGGTAAGTGGCAAGTTGAATTAGTTGTGTTCTAGATAAATTTTTTTAATAGGGGTTGAATTTTGAGCTTTTCTTTGAAAAATGATTCAATTATAGACTTTACTAGCTTTAAGAGAGAAGAGTTAATGATTAATATTGAAATATTTGAATCTTTGTTAGATTTGAGTTTTTTCTTATGCTTATTATGCAGTGAGTTATGTCTGGCTATAGATAGATTTATAGAGGATCAATTAAATGATCACTTGTTGAGCATCACTTTGTTATGATTAATTTTTGGATTGATGTAAAAATGCTCTTCATTAGCTTCGCATTATGAAGTTTAGCTTATAGATGTGTTAAGGATGATATTAATGGTTATACTATGATTTCTTCTTTAGCATTGAAATTAGTTCATGCGAGACTCGTGATTATTGTTAAGCAAGACTTAGCTATAAGCTTCTTTGAGCTTTTAATTGCTTGAGTTTTCATGCTTGTGATTTATTTGTTTGAAATTGATTAAAAAAAAGGCATTTTGGCTTATTAACTTCAGTATAAGGTGATATCAGACAAGTAGGTGTCCCAAGGAGTTGTAAATAGAGGGGGTGAGTGTCTCACTATATTGATGTTTGAGACCAAGAGCTATGACTTTCTAATTCCTCTTGTTGCAAAGTTCTAAAGACAACTTTTTTTGTTATGTAGAGAACTGCCAATCAGGCCACCAATTGTTCCTCCAAAATTCTTCCAGGCAATAGTTTCTCGCATTTAGGACTTACTGCTTGATTCTTATGCCCAGGCTTAGAATCACTTTGTGTGCCTCGCATGTACAGAGAAACTCTTGCTCCATAGAGCTATATTACATTTTTCTCTGGTAACTCAAAGAATCACATGCATACTAAGTCTTGTCTGTAAAGGGTAGGTTTGCTTCCAACGCACATCCAATTGAACTGGAGGAGCAAGTCTTCATGTCAATTGATATGGAGGATTGTGTCCACCATTGTTCTTCTCGAATTGAAAGTCCTTACATCCATGGTGGTTCTGATGCTATTATACTCGATTGCAGCACCATAATGACGTCTAGAGAAGATAAGTCTCACCAACGTTGGCAATCAATCAACGAATCTGGTGATTGAAGTACTCACCCAAAATGAACATGACCAGAGCATTTGAGTTGGAGCTGATGAGTTGCTGTGGTGGCGTGAATGGAACCTTGCAAGGGAAATTTGATTCACTCTTCTGATTCTCTGTGGTGTCTTCATTATAATTGCAAATTCGAGTTTAGGTAACTTCTATAATATCTGAATTAATTTACCACGATCTCAATCAGAAGGTCCAATTAATATTGTTACCATGTAACATTATACATGTATATATGTCCATGTATTTATGCTTCTACTGCCACAAGAACTCTAAATTTCAACAACACTAGAGTAGTTACTAACAACCATGGACAGCTAACTGTAAAACCCTGATAAACAAACTGTAACCTCACACATGTTGGTAAATGCTCTAAACAAGTAAGGATATTCATTCATTCATTCTTATTTTGTTTACATAATCTCATGGTGCCCACCAAGAAACATGAGACCAAGGAATCTTCTACTATCTCCATCTCTAGTGTGCTTAGTGTCACCCACTTCTGGGGTGTGGGTCTCTTGCGGCACTATTGCCTTTTGCCTGTTGACTAATGGTTGATGTATGCATCATGTCCATGTTCCACTCTAGTTATCTATGAAATCCCCAGTGTTAGTGTTATTGACACATGTAGTTTTGTGCTTTCTTTCTTAAAGTATATGACTAACCATCTTGATACACCTAAGATATATTTATAAAAGATTTTGTGATTACTATTGCTCCTTTTACTCCTTTTATTGTCCAACAGTTTTTCTATCTTACTTTATGCCATTAACTCTAGTGTCTTACTCCGAAGGTCCTCATACGCCCCTGGAATTCCACCAGGGCATTCTTGTACTCCTCTTTTCCAAAATCCGGCCATAGCTTCTTCTCAAACACGAGCTCCGAGTACGCGAGATGCCACAGCATGAAATTGCTCAGCCGCTGCTCGCCGCTGGTGCGAACGAGCAGCTCGGGCGCGCCAACATCCTCGCACCGCTCGCCCAGCATCAATCTCTTTGCCAGGTTGATCTGGTCAATCTCCTCCACAGCCATTTTCCCCTGCTCCACCTCGCGCGCCAGCGCCTGGCACGCCTGGACCAGATCGTTGTGCCCGCCGTAGCCAATCGCCATGACGAGTTTCATGCCCGTGTTGCCGCTGGTGATGGATTGGGCATCCGAGATCTTGGCCTGGAGCGGGCGCGGGAGCCTGGCAGTGTCACCAATGCAGCGGAATTGGATCCCATCCCTGACCAAAAATCATCACTCAGTCAATCCATTTCCATTCACTGAATGAAAAGCATTCGAGATATTCCACGCACAGCAAAATGGTGGCAGGATCATCGAGGCTGAGAACTCTGTCAAATTGCTGCATCCACTGATCCACTTCTTCCCTGGGCCGCAAGAAATTCTCGGTGGAGAAGGCAAAGAGCGTGAGCGCTTTGATCCCCCAGTCGCTGGACAACCTCACGATCTCCCGGGCGTTGGAATAGCACGCCTCCGCCGCTGCTCGCAGCTGGCGCTCCTTGGCGATCCCTCGCGCCTTCGCCCACCGCGAATTCCCGTCCATGATTATCGCAACGTGGTTCGGGAGCCGCAAAGGATCCACCTCCGCAGGCAAACGCGTCGTCGTCGCGCCGAGGCGGGAAGGGTAAGGAGCGGCAATGCTGGCGGTGATGGCCATGAAGCAAGAATTTAGATTCGAGAAAGACAATGTGATTCGTCCCAGAGGAAGAGTGCCATATAAATACGCTGTATACCTCTTGTATTTTCTTATTTCTTTGAACACTGTAATTTGTCTCCATTGAAGTAATTTGTACAGCAGAAAAATTTACAAGAGACCAAAGCAACTTCATTCATTCGTGTACTATTTACATGGTCTCACACCCGCCAAAATGTCCATCTCCAAGCTTTTTGTGCCCAATGTACAAAGACACTGTACACGTGGTAAACGATTGTGAGTAACAAGCAAATTAAACCACGCCATACACAGAACTAACCTTTCTCATCGTAACATTTTGATCCGATATGTTAACTACCGAATATCTCGATATGTCAACTACTGACTATTTGAAATTTATGCTTCCTTCATTTGAAACTTATGCTTCCTTCACTATTGGATGTCCTTTCGAGCGGAGAGCTTGCTTGCAAAGGTCCATCTCCATTCTTGGTTCCCTTATTGGTGGTGGAGTCTAGACTTTGCAAAACAAAAGTGACGAAGAAAAGTAATCTTGATGATAACTACCAATTTGCTTCAACCTATGGAGTGTGAGCTTGGGTAAGAACATACCTAGTTTCTCTTTGTTTCTATAATATCTGCATTGCATAGTTAAAGCAGTAGGATATTAAACTCCATGTAAACTAAACTGATGCTTACCAGAGGAAAAACTCCTCGCTGCGTTCCATGGTGAATTCACCATTGGAATTCCTCGTCATCGTCCGACTGGGAAGCGTCTGCTTGTAAATCCTCCCCTCTCTCTTCGGCCTCTACAATCGCCTTTCGCTGCTTCTCAGTGTAGACGGCTCGCAACCGATGCTTGTGAATCCTTTCTGTGAGCTCGCGCACATTGCGATAGAGGTGCTGCAGGGACTTGAGCAAGAGCGCCTTCTTTAGCGCCTGCACAAAGCTTGGAGAAATCAGAACATGGAAGATAAGAAAAGCTTGCAAGAAAGAAAAAACTACGACGCACCTTTCCCTTGTTGAGCATATTTTCAATCCGCGAGGGTGGCTGGTAACCATGGCTGAAATTCCTGCCTCGGTAGAGTATAAACGACATGGTCTCCTCGGTCACCGCGATAACCACAGCTCCACTCATTCTCGCCACTTTCTCGGCCATGGGCCGAAGCTTTCGCAGCGGATAGCCTTCGCAGTAGATCCGGAGCGTCTCGTGGTTGATCCAGTGAGAGTATATGTCTCTGATGAAACCTTCCCAGACGCCTCTCTTGCCGATGGTGAGGAAATCGTCGATGCAGCGGTTTCTCTCCTTCAAGGCAGTCATAAACTCCGGGCTCAGGTACTCGGGGTCGTGGACCGGCTTGTCCTCTGGAAAGTCGTATTCCTGGAGGATCTTTTTCTTGAGCTCGATACGTTCGTAAGTCTGAGAAAAGTTTTTCGTAAGTTTTTTGCTAGTTTCAGAAAATGATCCAAGAAAAGAAAAAGCTTACCTTCTTGAGCATCTCCCGCAAATTCTCGGCAGTCGCCACGTCCTCAGACAAGAACTTGCGTCCGACTTGCAAATCCTGGAGTTTGCGCCTCTCCTTCCAGGGATTGATGCGCGGCTGCTCTTCCGGAACCACATTCTCACAAGCGCGAGATTGCTGAACACTAAGAGCCCCAAGAGATCAAAAGAAGAAATCTGCGGCGTAGTACCTGCGGCGCTTTCTTCTGCTGCGAGAACCAGCATTGTTGCTGCTAGATCGTCGCGGAGATAAAAACGTGAATCTATGAATCAAAGAAGAAGGCGAAGAGGAACCGCGCCTTACCACCAAGCACCAATGCATTCCTGGGACCCTAAAACGAAGGCATTGCTACCTAGAGAACACAAGGATCTCTTACCTGTGAGCGATCACGTCCCAGTTTTATCGATCCGGCTCGTCACTCTTAATGTCCCTTTGCCCCCGTGAATCATTGAAACGAGGAGATCCTTTTTCTTGGCACTGACCACGATATGGATCTCTTGGCTTGGACGATGTGCGACTGCCAATTCGGATGAAGAGATGGGCCGAGAATGATATCGTCGCGCAGCTCAAGACCACCGCTAGCACCAGGAATCTGTCCCAAGGACGCTGGATCCACCAGCGACTCATACATGACGATCTTCTGCACTCCAGCACTTTCCTCCAAAATCTCGTCATCGACATGTACGGGAAGTGCGGTAGCGTCGAGGAGGCCCACGAGTGCTTCGCCCACCATAGCCAGAGGAACCTTTTCACCTGGAAAACCATGGCGGCAGCATATGCCCAAAACGGGCATCTGCAGGAGGCGGCAATGCTGCTCGACCGCATTCCGGAACGCAATGCCCCCGCGATGACGGTCATGATCACGCTCTACTCCCAAATCGGACGGCTGGAAGAGGCGCGGCGGCTGTTCTGGAGTATGCCGTCCAAGGACCCCGTGGCCTGGAACGCGATGCTCCAAGCAAATGCCGTGAATGGAGAGATCCAAGAAGCCTGGAAGATCTTCGACGAGATGGCTGCCAGGAACGTGATCACTTGGACGACGATGATCTCGGCAATTGCCGCGGATGGAGATTCCCTGCGAGCCCGGGCCGTGTTTGATCGCATGGCACAGCACAACACCACCTCCTGGAACGCGATGATCTCGGGCTATGTCGAATCTGGGGAGCTCCAGCCAGCTGTCGATCTCTTCCAACAAATTCCCGAGCGAGATCTCGTGTCTTGGAACGCCATGCTCGCAGGATTGGCACAGGCGGGCGACGTCTCCCACTGCCAAGCTCTGTTCTTCACCGAAATGCCCGAGAGGAACATTGTGTCTTGGAACACGATGCTCGCTGCCACGGTGGGGGATTCTTCCAGATCGAACGAGCTCTTCTCGAGGATGCCGGTGTGGAACCAGATCTCCTTCAACTCGATGGTCAAAGCGTTTGGGTCTGGAAATCTGGAACAAGCGAAGCTCTTCTTCGATCTACTCCCACACCGCGACGAAATCTCGAGAAATACCTTGATTGCTGCCTATGTCCAAGCCGGCCTCTACGCCGAGGCCAAAGATCTGTTCGATGCCATGGATCGCAAGAACGTCGTCTCCTGGAACAGCATGATCACAGCGGCGGAAGGAACAAGCTTTGCGGCCGATGCTTTCGCTCGAATGCCCGGAAGAAATCTGGTGTCTTGGAACTCGATGATCCAGGCATTTGCCAGCGGTGGCCATGCCGAGAAGGCAACAGCGATCCTGGATGAAATGCCGGAGCAAAATCTCATCTCCTGGAACTCGGCCATCGCGGCATTCAAGGACAGCGGCCTAGTGACCGAAGCAAGGGCGCTGTTCGACAGATTGCCGCGCAAGAACGAAGTGACATGGAGCGCGATGATCAGCGCCTACGCCATGAATGGATTTCTGGAAGAAGCATCCGGCCTGTGCTCCTTGGTGCCGATGAAAGAAGCATCCTCCCTCACGGCGCTCATCCAGGGGTATGCGCTCCACAACCGCCTCAAAGAAGCCACAGAAGTCTTCCAGCGATTCCCCTTGCTCCAAGACGACCTCATCGCCGTGACCTCGATGATCCGCGCGTATGGCGCCGCGGGATTTCCAGACGAATCCAAGGCCCTGTTCGATCGATTGCGGCAGCGCGACCTCTTGTGCTGGATCACCATGCTCGGCGCCCTCGCCCAGGGCGAGTGCATGGATAGGGCAGAAGCCCTGTTCCACAAAATGCCCGGCCACGATGCGGCCACGTGGACGGCCATGATCACGGCTTACACGCAGGCGGGCAATTTCAAACAGGCCAAGCTCTTCTTTGACACCACCAAGGAGGTCAGTGTTGTGTCGCTCAACGCAATGCTCGCGGCCTATTGCCAGCAAGGGAATCTAAAATATGCCACTGCCTTGTTCGAGAAGATGCCCTCCCAGAACGAAGCCTCTAGAGCGATTGCAATCGCGGCGTATTCCCGGCTAGGGCAGCTGGGCGACGCGAAGCGCGTCTTCGATTCGATCGAATCCCTGTCGGCGCCGGGTTTGAATTCGATGATCGGAGGCTACGCGCACGGCGGCTACCTCAACGAGGCGCGAATTGTGTTCCAGAGCTCCGCTGCAAGGGATTCCTCGCCTTGGAGCACGATGATCGCGGCGCTGGGGAAGAAGGGGCTCTTCGACGATGCGGTGGATCTCTTCCGGGAGATGCAGCAGCAGGGCGTCAAGGCGGGGGAGATCACTTTCGGGGCCTTGATCGCGAGCAGTAGCCACGGCGGGCGGCTGGAGGAGGGATGCGAGCATTTCCAGTCCATGGCGGCGGATTACGGCATCGATCCGGGAAGGGATCACTACGAGTGCATCGTCGATCTGCTGGCGCGGTCTGGGAGGCTGGAGGAGGCCGAAGAGTTAGCGAGATCCATCCCCGATTCATCGGCGTGGATGAAGATCCTTGGCGCATGCTGGCTCCAAAACGATCGCGCTAGATCCGCGAGAGCTGCCGAGTTTGCGCTTGACGCCAGGAAATCCGGTCCCTATATCCTGCTCGCCAACATTTGTTCTAGCGCAATTTTCAGTAATTATAAGTGACTTTAATACTCCATGTACTTAAGATGGAGCATCATGGCGTCGGTATATTCCAGAAACGACCATCTGCAGGGCGCGGCAATGCTGCTCGAGCGCATTCCGGAACACAATTGCGTCACGGCGACGGCCCTGGTTGGACTCTACTCCGAAATCGGACGGCTGGCGGAGGCGAGGGTTCTGTTCTCCAATATGCCGCACAAGGACACCGCCATGCAAATGTCGTCAATGGAGAGATCCAAGAAGCGTGGAAGCTCTTTGGCGAGATGGCTCGCAGAAACATGATCACCTGGACGACAATGATCAAGGCACTGACTGGGGATTCCCTGCAAGCCCGGGACGTGTTTGATCGCATGGCGCAGCAAACACCTTGTCCTGGAACGCGATGCTCTTGAGCTATGTGGAATGTGGGGAGCTCCAGCAAGCTCTCGATCTCTTCCAGCAGATCCCGGGCAAAATCTCGTGTCCTGGAACACCATGCTCCGCGGATTGGCACGTCTCCCAATGCCAGGCTCTGTTCTTCGCAATGGGCAAGAAAGACATCTTATCTTGGAACACGATGCTCGATGGCTTGAACGAGGATTCTTCCAGATGGGAGCTGTTCGTGAGGATGCCAGTGAGTGACAATATCTCCTGGAACTCGATGATGAGGTGTGGAGATCTGTAACAAATGAAGATCTTCTTCGATGGACTTCCACACTGTGACATGTTCGTGGTCAATACCATGATTGCTGCCTATGGACAAGCCGACCACTGCGCCGAGGCCAAAGATCTGTTCGATGCCATGGATGGCAGGAACGTCGTCTCCTGGAACAGCATGATCACAGCGGCGGACGGAACAAGCTTCGCGGCCGATGTTTTCGCTCGAATGCCCGGGAGAAATGTGCGATGATCCAGGCATTCGCAAGCGGCGGCCATGCCGAGGAGGCAGTAGCCGATGAAATGCCGGAGCAGGATGTGATCTCCTGGACATTCAAGAACAGTGGTGGACAAGCGACCAAAGCAAGAGCACTGTTCGACAGAGCGCCGTGCAAAGAACCAAGTGACAAGGAGCACGATGATCAGGGCCTACGCCCTGAATGAGTTTCTGGAAGAAGCATCCGACCTGTGCTCCTTGATGCCGATGAAAGACACATCCTCCGCATCCATGGACCATGGCTATGCACTCCATAACCGCCTCCAAGAAGCCAGAGAAGTTTTCCAGCGATTCCCCTTGCTCCAAGACAACCTCATCACCGTGACGGCAATGATCCGCGCATATGGCGCCGCGGGACTTCCAGACGAAGCCAAGGCCCTGTTTGATCGATTGCGACCGCGCGACCTATTTCACAAAATGCCCGGCCACGATGCGTCCACGTGGACGGTCAGGATTAGGGAGGGAAATTTTAAACACGCCAGAAAGCAATCTTCGATTCGAGCGATGCCTCGTCGCTTCCAGGAGATGCAGCAGCAGGGCCTCAAGCCGGGGGAGATCACTTTCGAGGCCTTGTTCTCGACCTGTAGGTACGCCGGGGACGCAAGCATTTCCACTCCTTGACAGCGGATCACGGCATCGATCCGCCACGGGATCACTACGAGTCCACTGCTGAGGCTGGAGGACTAGTGAGATTCATCCCCAATTCATTATCGGCATGGAAGGTGTTCGCTCATGTTATCTCCAGAACGATCTCCCTAGAAAAATTTTACTAGGAAATTAGTTTAGTTTTTAATTTAAACCCTAGCCCGAAATGGGAAACACAAAACGTCCATAACAGGAAAAGATCCATAATAAAAATGGATTTCTACTCGTCCTAACGCAGAGATTTTACCATGGGCTCTCACTCCTCTACTCTCTTGCTTCTCTGCGTGGCGAATCTAGTAGCATATGCCTCAGCTCTCCAATACTTCCCAAATCTAAGTACCAGGAAAGTCCCAGGCTTGTTTGTGCTAGGCGATTCTACCGTGGACGCTGGCAACAATTTATATATCTCAAACCCCATCGTCGAGGTCTCGGTGCCACCCTATGGTGACACTTACTTTGGCCACCCCACGGGGCGATACACTAATGGAAGAACACTCCCAGATTTCTTGGCTACTTCACTTGGATTGCGTTTTCCAGATCCTTATCTCAAGCCCGATAAATGGATCGCCCAAGGGGTAAACTTTGCGTCGGGAGGAGCTGGGCTGCTGGAATCTACAAACGCTGGAGAGGTAATGTAGATAGTCTCGTTCATAACTTTCAATTTGTACGTGATCGTTTTTTTACTTCCAGGGATTGATGAGCTTGAACACTCAGCTAGCGCAGTTCCATAATCTCACGTTGGCCAGGCCAAACCCAGAGTTTTACAAAGAATCGGTGTTTATCTTCTCTATGGGGGCGAATGATATCATGGGGAATTACCTCGCGGATTCTACCTTGCAAACGCAAGTTACCCCGCAAGAATTTATCGGTAGAATGCTGGGAGCTTATATCTCTGCGATCAAGGTAACTATGATAGTATATTTTAGTAAGACCATGGTAAGCTTTTCATGATAAATTTTAAAGGCGTTGTATAGCGATGGAGCAAGGAGGATTATAACACTTGGGCTGCCGCCACTGGGATGTATACCAAGAGCCAGATTGTTAGTTGCAACTACGAATGGGAATGGTGATACTAATGGATGTTTCAAGCCCGCTAACGATCTTGCTTTGGCCTTTAACGAGGGACTTGCACAAACAGTGAAGTCACTGAGCGAAGAACTCAAGGACACGAAGATCGTTCTTGCCAAAACATATGATCTGACCATGAGCGCCATCAAATTCCCACAGGCATTTGGTAAGAGGATCAGAATCGTTTGTACAGTTTGCTAATATAACTTGTGGTATCACTTGTAGGCTACGAAGATGTGAAGAGTGCTTGTTGCGGAGCCGGACCCTTCAATGCAGCAGTTTTCTGTGGGGATTCTTATTTAAAAAACGATGCCAGAACCAAGCAATTCCAACCTTATTTGTGCCCCACGCCCTCCAAGTCTATGTTTTGGGATTCTATACATCCAACTGAGAAGTCATACTGGCTCTACTTTCGGTATATGTGGTATGGGGATGACAACGTTGTGGAGCCATATAACCTGGCTAAACTGTTTGAGGGCGCTTATATCCCACAGCCTCCATTGCCAATCCACTCGTCATGTTTAGTTTAGTACAATGACTAGTTTTGTACAAGCATTTTTCATGGCAAAAAGGTCTAAGGATTTTCTCCTTTTCGATGAATTAGCAAGATAGTATCCCTGGCAAGCTCTCAATGTCTATATCGACGTCATCAAACTCTTGAAGTTGTCCCAGAAGTTGTCTTCCACATATCCGTGCACAGTCGAATCACCACCAAGCTGCTCCAAGTTTTTTTGCACATCTCCGCCAACTTGCAGCGCACCACCAATCTCTTGAGGTTGCCTCCAGAAGTTGTCTCCGCCACCACCAGGTTGCAACCAGAAGTTGTTTTGCTCGTCTCCGCCAACTACTGGCGCACTAGTATTACCACCAAGCTCTTGAGGTTGCCCCCAGTAGCAAATCGTTTGCATATCTTCACCATCTAGTTGCCACGGAGTTTGAGATGGTTCTCCAGCGAATTTGCCCACCAGACTCTGCTCGGCTCTCTTCTTATCCATGCTGCCTCCTCCATCGCTGCTGCTGCTCGAAGCTTTGCCTTTCCTTTTACGTCCACCACTGGATGCCGCCCTTATCTTGCCGCCCTGGGTCCACTGTTTCTTGCATGCCCTACAAGCGAAGCGCGGCTGGTCACGCTTCTCGTTGTTGTAGTAATCAAACCGCGTGTTGTAAGATTGGCAGCGTGGGCACTGGTACACGTTGTCCGGAAGCTCGTGAGGCTCCCACATCTTGTCCAAGTTTTGCTCCCTCACTTGCTGTGCCGTGAGCTGGCAAGCCCTCTCGTTTCTCGCGCGCCGCTTCTTCACCACTACCGCACCATTACCTGAGCCACTTTTCTTCGCCATATGTCGCTCGGATAACCCTAAAGGGATGGAGCTTATTTATAGTCTGGAACCTTTTAGATACGCTAAACTGATGATTAACTCGAAATAGCACGTTTTAGATGCACTAAACTAATGGTTAACGTTAAATAAGCTCGGTAGCCTTTTAAACTCATATTTTCAGTTTATGTCGGCGTGCAAAAATGTGAAAGATACCCATCCTTTCATTTGGGTGTGGAGTACCAATCAATCAACTCATTCGTATGAGCCTACCAGTTGCTCCAAACCTGACCACTCAAAAGTGTCTTTGATAATTCACCACCCCTTTGTATCTATACAGGACAATCTTCTGCTGAGCGCGAACAATGAAACAAAACAAAATCCTTTTTGTTTTCGAGTGCTCAGAAACACCTGCCAAGTTTTCTCTCTCAAAATCCACGCTTTGTCTTAAGGTAACATCATCAACTCCACAAACTCAAACGCAAATAAAACTTCAAGTCACAATCCGAGAAGAACTCTCTGGCTCTATTTCGTAGTGCTGCGAAAAGACTTGGCGGACAATTCAGTGAACCCAGCCTCTTACACTTTGTGTACAAGCAAGCGTCACAGCGAAAGACGAGCTGAAAAAGAGAAAGAGGCAAAAAAAAAAAAAAAAAAAAAGCAGAGACAAACGTGTGGTGGTAAGATATTTGTGGTGGCAAAGGCGAGGCGAAGCATGAAGAGATAGGCCTTTCGTCCTTGCCGAGACAATGAAATACTCAAACATCCACGCAATTAAGTAGAACGGCCAAGCCAAGACAAGGCAAGAGTTTCGACAAACCTTCTGTGTGTCTGTGTGCGTTGTATGAGAGGGACAAGAGCTCCTCTCCAGCGTTGTAGTACATATAGCCTGCCATTCTTCTTCTCTTCCGCTACGTTTCAAGAGCCCTTTTGTTCTTTTGTTCGCTTGCTCGTCATCATATTTGGCTTTGAAATCACAAGCAGCTTTCTCATTTCCTCCATCAGCGCTCGGCAGTGCTTGCCGGTCTCTTGGTGCTTCTCGTAGGCCGTGAAGAAGCTCTTGTTCTCTTTCTTGAGCTCGTTCCACACTGCAGGGATCACAAACTTCCTTTTAAGTCGGGACTGAAAACGAATTTAAACAAAAATGACAAACAGCTCGAGGCAACTGCTAGTTAAAAAAAAAGAAGATTTGCTTGCCTGTGAGTGTGACAACGGGCTTCACGTTGGAGTGCGTGGACAGCGCGTCTACGCATTCGTCGCAGTTCATGTTGAGCAATAGACACTGCTCTATCAAACTTTGCACCTGCAGGAAGGAAGAGCCGAGACAAATCACACGAACGGGGCTGCGGAATTCTTACTTGAAGAATGTACTCGGCTGACACTGGCTGTGAATCTGATGCAGCAGCACGGCAACCATGCTCCTCCCTCTGCTCCGAGCTCATCTTGAACGCCACGAAACCAGATCGACTTGCAGCTAAAATTTGTGGATCACACAAATACCATTTCCTGCATGTTTAAAAAAAATCGCTAACACATTTCTTCAAGCGACTAGAGGAGAAAACAAACAAAAGGAACCTCTTTCGACTGGCTAGTGTGCGTTACGGAAGAAAAAAGAGGAATATACCTTGTGTCAGCTGGAAAATCTCCAACGAATGCTCGTAAAAACAAAAGCTACAACCTGTCAAGATCAAAGATTCTTACTTCCGATCGAAAAACAAAACTTAACACCCAAACCTTGCTTAACGACATCACTTTCTCATCGCTGTGAAAAGTGGATTATTCGGCGGTTGCGCAGCACCCGGGAGAAATCCACCAGGCGGTTGTACAGAGCCAAATCCAGGTGTCGCCGCATTACTTCCAGCAAAGCCCCCAAAGCCTCCGCTGCTAATGTTCTGACCAAGCGCTTGAAATCCACTACCTGTAATGCCCATTCAGTCAATTGCTTCCAAAATAAATAAAAAACAGTAGAAGACATTTACCTGTTGCTGCACCGGCAAAGCCACCACCCGATGCCGCGGCCGCAAAACCAGCACCCGACGTAGCACTGGCAAAACCACCACCGGTTGCCGCAGAAGCGAAACCACCACCCGGCGAAGCACTTGCGAAACCAGCTGCACCCGACACTGGACCACCAAATCCCACTTGTCTCGTCTGTCCGAATGCACCCAGTGCACTGCCCAGCGCGCTCCCAGCAGGCTGTCCGAAACCGCTCGAAGGAGCCTGACCAAATCCACTAGGAGCCGCGGCAGGCCGGTTGGAGAACGCACCGCCTTCTGGCGATGACGTAAAGCCTGTTCCCGGAGAGCTCAAGGAAAATGCAGCCGGCCTGAACAGCTGACCAGGTGGTGGTGCGCTCAGTCCTCCGAACGGGGTGGCCTGCGGACTCGGCGTTACGCCAAATGGATTCCCGGTTGGCGCTGAAGGCAACGCCGAGCCCAGGCCGAGATTACCAAAGCCCGAGAATGCACTCGAGGGGGCCTCTTCGTCCATGTCATCTTCATCCGGTGGTGGTCGCACGGCTTGAGTAGTCTGCTGCTGCTGCGATTGAAGCAAAGCCGGAAAAGGCGAAGAAACTGGAGAAGGGCCGCTGGCCGCCGGAACGTTTGGAAAAGGTGACGCGAATATATCGGGCTTCGAAGTCGTAGATGGCGGACTAGAGGAAACAGTCAGCTGACTAGTAGATTGTGGCGGCGAGCTGCTGTAACCGCTGGAAGGGACTTTTGTTGTGGCCGACATCATGCTCAGCGTGGACGTAGCGGCTGAGGACGATGCAAACGATAATGCAGTAGCGGGAGACGATGATACCGGGAAGCTGAAAGCTAAGGGCTTCACTAATGATGTAGTACGTGGAGCTGCAGGTAGAAGAGTAGCCGAGGTCGACGAGCTTACAACCAACTGGGAGGAACCGCTGGAGACGCTACATGTCGCTGCTATAGGTGCAGTGGAAATCTTCGGTTGTGACTGCGCTTGTTCACTGGTCGATGGCTTCGACTCCAACTGCTGGAATAATGACGGTAACGGAGCGCCTAACCTTGTAGAAACACTGAACGTCGGAGATGATGTGATCGATGTTGCTTTCAGATCCGAAGATGTGGGAGATGTGGTACGCTTCAGCTCCAAAGATGTGGAAGTTGCTGGTGTAGCCTGCACTGTGGAAGATGTAGCTTTCACTTCCAAAGGTCCGAAGGACACAACAGCCGGTGCAGCCTTCAACTCCAAAGATGGTAGCCACGCTGATGGTGGTGTCGCTTGAGTGGTCATGCTTGACGTTTTCGTGATTGAGGCCGGGGCGATAAAAGCTGACGCGGGACGAATAACATTCGTAGAAGCTCTTGACATGTCGGGAACCTTGAGTGCTAAAGCACTAGAGGACGGCGGTAACGGCTGCGATCTTAAACCCCCGTCACCAAAAGGAGGCGAAGAACTCTGTGAAACGATATCCGTCCTGGAAGAAAACGAAGGCCTGGTCGTATCCAAAGATGTCGCTGCAGGTGCTAGTACGAGAATTTTCTCTTCTGTAACACTTGGCTGCTTCAAAGTTGACTGCGGCTTCATCGTTTGAAGAGCATTGGAGGTTGATTCAAGCAGTTTAGCCTTCCGGTTATTGACCACCCCAACCATCCTTTTGATCGTGGTTTTCGTTGCTCCAATACCCTGTAAAGTGTAAGGAGCAAAAGAGTAGGAAACGAAAGAAACGGAATAATGCTTACGCTATCCAAGGAATCTCTTCGCCTTCTTGTGCTTTCCGCCGGCGCGAAGTCATCACTCAAGATAGACTTGGATGGCGTAGAAAAAACACTCTCGGTTTTAGTCTGCGGTGGCTTTGTCTGCAATAAAGACGACTGCATTTTCCGTGGCCTTAAGGAAGTAACGCTTGACGATATATTCATCGATTCCATCAAGTCCGCGAGATGCACACATAGCTTATCAGCTGCTTCCATTTGAAAGTTTACTGTGCTGTAGAGATTTTGAACAGATTGGAAGTCTCTGTGCCACATACAAAAAATTAGATCCATATTTCTTGACAAATTCATTCATACCCAGCAGTAGACCGCTGTTTTGAAGACATATTCTGGCGTCGACTTATTTCAAGTGTATGAAGATGAGACTCGAGATCAGAAATTTGTCTTTTCAATGTCTAAACAAACCATGGTTAGGAAGAGGCATGGGAACGAGTAGTATGTACCTCATCTGCATTGATAACGTGCTTTCGCTTGATGTCCATTTCCGGGTGAAGCTTGCGGTGAACCCAGAGGTCCTGATATCGGCTATCAGATGCTTGTTCCACTCGGCTTTCCACGTAAATTCTCCATGCGTCAACTAAAATTTCCAGCTCAAATTGTTACTTGTAATGAAGGACAGTAATACCATCAAGGCTTTGATCCCGAAGCTCTTCAACAAACTCACAATGCTCTTGCAGTTTTTGCTGGAGTTTAAAGAATGTAAGCATCACACCGAACATGGAAGGTTACCTTAAAACTACGGCATCGCGCTGAAACGGCTATAATTTCGCTTTCCAGCTTGTCTACTCCAGACCTTGTTAAACCGGATCCAAGAGAATCTATCTCGATAATATGCATAAATCCATCAATATCATCAGCGATTTTCTTCACCTGCAGAAACAAACATTAAAGTATAAAAGGCACAAGTTCAAGTACCTTATCCATTTCTGCCAAAAACCCTGCTTCTATTTCGGAAACTCCTTGTGATCGTGAGGAACGTTTCTCAACCTCATGAGAAGGAGCGTCTTCCCTTTTAAACGATAATGGCTGACTCTGGACAGGAATTTTTGATGCTCCATCTTGAGGTAAAGACGGTTCTTTCTCCTTTTGATTAAGATCCAGCTGAGTTTTACGCAACTGCTCGTTCACAGTTTTTGATGCAGAAAACGTCCTTGGTTGAATGCCATTCATGGTGGTAACAGTTTTCGTAACCTTAGGCTCCACACGTACAACTGTTGCCGGAGCTGGTGTTACAGTCTTTTTTTCGGCATCCACCTAAAACATAAATCGGCCTTACACATTCATTCCCAAAAAA